CGCGTCACATTAGCATGATAATTTACTACGTAAGTTGTGCTTCCCATTTGTAGCTAATATAGCATAACACCCGTTTTTGTTTACTTCATGTGTTCTTTCATCCCTGCAGCAATTCGAAAGGCTTTTTCAGTTTGCTAAAAAGATTGAGGATCTCATGTATACTATCACCCCTGAAGAGGTTAGTTGTTCACTAGTTGCACCATAGTTTCACTTTCTCACCGTGTAAACTATGTGTTGGCGTGTTTACTTAAAGTTTCTAGGGGGAAAAAAACCTGATACATTTTTTCTATATTTCAGATACCATTCCAGCTTGGTTTGTCGAAAATGGAGCTTCGGAAGATGTTAAAATCAAGCTTATCAGGGGTAAAAAAAAACGTTCCTTAAGAGTGTATTAATTGTTCACAGGTCTGCTAACATATAGCTTTCCACTTCTTCTCTTTGTGTTTAGGTGGACAAATCGATTGCAGCAATGTATAAAAAGTTGCAGAAGAATTTAGCATCGGAGGAGTTGCTACCATCGTTGTGGGATAAATGCAAGGTACCAAAATATAAACTGAATTTATTGAAAAGTCGTTGATTTAAGTGTGAAATTGTGCGCTTAATGTTTGAATCAATGTGTTATTGTGTGAACCTCAACAGAAGGAGTTTCTGGACAAGTACGAGAGCTTCGTGCAGCTCGTAGCCAAAGTTTACCCGAGTGAAAACGTTCCTGGAGTAACTGAAATGAGGGGACTTTTGGCTTCCATGTAAAAAAAACAAGTGATATAGCCAAAACTGAAGGCAGTTGTTATATATCGCCCTTTGTTACGACGTTGGTCATTTCACGGATACAAGTCATGTTACAATGCAAGGACTGTATGAACACTATTAATTCTTTCTTTCTTTCCATTTTTCCGGTTTTATTTGTTGGAATGTTTAAGCCTACACTAATCTAAAATGATTGTTTTCATTCAATACACGAAAAACTAGGTGTACATAACTACACAATGTTTGGAGTAATGTGTTTAGTTTATGGATTTTGGAGTAATGATGTTCCAACCATAATTTTTCTCAGTATTTTTTTTTGGCTCTCGAGTTTAAATTCGCTTGCATTTTTAGTGGTTGAAATATTCGATTTTGTGCATCTACTTTTTTTTTTTCTTTTAAAAAACACTAATTGCATCTACTATGTCTAAAAATTTGCTACCCACAAAACCTAGAATTGGAAGAGGTTGTACGACTAGGACTTGAGCTCTTACTCTTTGTAACTGAATTGATGTTATTGTTGTGTGATGACAATCTGCATTCATACTACGTTATGTTTATGCTATAGTTTATGGAGAGATGCAAATAGGGACGTGATTAATGAAAGTCACCTGGTGGATAGGTTGCTTCGTGTTATGCATTATGTGTAGACAAAAGATATCAAACAGAAGAATGACGACGACTAGAGAATTTTGCTGCTGGATTTAGAGATCTTGATCGCGTTGTCTTCTTTCTTAGAGCAGGAGGAACATGTGGCCAAGATTTTACGTGTAATATTGAGATGAGGCACTTTCAAATTGTAATATACTTTTGATATGCTTTAGGGCCTGAGTAGACTCATGGCAAACAAGAGTTTCTGTTTTATTTCTTTCATGTTTTTGTTCTGTCCCAAACTCTAATTGAAGCCTTTCCTTAAGGGTAGTGTCTTCAATTTGTTTATATACCTTGAGGGGGAAGAAATCTGTAATCACAGAGGAAAACGAAATATATATTTTTTCCTTTTTTAAAATTTTTTGTTTTCTCCTCATGGAATCTTTTCGTTAAGGGTTTATGTTGTTATATATATATATATATTCACAAAGGTGAGGGAGAATCGGTTATCAGTTATCACAAGCATAACGTATTTACTACGTTAACGTTGTTACATCGATCCTGGTTGAAACAATGACGAACATGTCCAATCTTCCAAGGGATATGGGTGAGGAGGTGCTCTGTAGAACTCCCTTGACATCTCTGAGGAGAGTCCGATCTACTTGCAAAACTTGGAACACTTTATCCAAAGCTGATGAGAGCTTTGGAAAGAAGTACCTTGATGATCAAGCAAAAGTAGCAGCAAAGAAAGGGAGTTTATGATGGTCATGATGATGGATTTTTAGGGTTTATTTGATGTGCGTCAATCTTCACAATGACGTTGAGTCATGTATGAAGCGTGAAGGTGAATTTGTTGACTTTTCATTTTAATCACAAATTTTTGTTGAATAAGCCAATTAGACACGTTTAAGTGTCTTGACGAAACAAATTAACGGACTAAATCTCTGATAATAATTTATGTTGAGTTTATCAAAAATCTGATTACAGAGATAAGTGCAACAGAGAATTACCTTTGTTTATTCGTTTCGTCAAAACATTTTATAGCGGGTCTAAATTGGTTATGTTAACAAAAGATTACGATTAAAATGAAAAGTATTTGATATCTATGGTCGGCTAGTCGCGTCTCTCAGTTACAGTTCTTCATAAAAAAACTTATATTTTTTTTACGAAACTATATTTAAATGAATTGTTGCCACCGCTTAATTCAAAATAGTAACATTTGGTTATTTGATGAATCAATGAACATTTTGGCTTATTTGACCAAATATTGTAATATTTGGTTTATTTGATGAACCGTTCTGTCACAACATTTAGAATATTTGATGAACAGTTGCAATATTTAGTTTATTTGATGAACTATTACAACTTTGGTATATTTGATGAACCGTTGCAATATTTGCCCTTTATAAAAGATTTTTGTGAGCATTAATTTAAATTGTGTCTGTTCACTTAGAATTGTATCTTTTCACCATGTTTTATTCGTATTTTTCATCAAAAACTATTCATTCCAATAATTATGTCTTTTACAAATAGTTTTGTTTTTTTATTTAAACTTTCATATCCTTTAACTCTATATATATATTTTTTTCTTTTCGTAGAAAACTTGTGTATTTTTATTATTACTTTTGGCTTGATATTTTTTCATATAAAATTGCGTTCTTTGCTATCTAGCATTCATGTATATACTTTGTTATCTATATCATTTTTTTCCTAAATAACTATCAATTTTGGTTATTTGTTAATTTTTTTCGAGGATTTTAACTCTTTAACATAACACAATTTCAAATGTTGCGTTCTTTTATCATAATTTCTTGTTGAAAATAATTATATTTATAATTGTTCAAAAAATAAAAAAAATTGCGTCTATTCATTATAATTCTTTGTTTAATAATTTTTTACTTAAGATCACTTTTTTCACCATAATTTTTTCTAATAATAATATAAATATTAATAAATGCTTATGAAGATTAACGTCTTTTATCATAATTTTTCGTAAAATAGATCTTGATTTGTTGTTAAATTTTATTTTATTTTAAGAAGTTGTCTCAATTCATTAGGACTTTTTCTTTGAAATCTTTTATCTTTGAAGATTTTCGAAATTTTTTCCCCCGCAGCAGCGTGGAAATCCTGAGTCCTAATCTATATATAATAGCAATCTAATAAATACCATTTGCACATCTGAACGGTTGCGTCTTTTTATCGCAACTTTTCGTTTAAATCGGTTATTTTTACGGTTATTTTGGTTGCGTCTTTTTATCGTAATTTTCGTTTTAGTCGGTTATTTTTTTACGGCTAAATACCATTTGCACATCTGAACGGTTGCGTCTTTTTATCGTAACTTTTCATTTAAATCGGTTATTTTTTTACGGTTATTTTGGTTGCGTCTTTTTATCGTAATTTTCGTTTAATCGGTTATTTTTTTACGGCTATGTCGTTTCCAATAAATACCATTTGTACATCTAAACGGTTGTGTCTTTTTATTGCAATCTTTCGTTTAAATATTTATGGTTGTTTTTCAGTTATTTTTGTACGGTTGTTTTATCGAATTTTTTTTTACGTAAACCAATAAACTACATATAAAATTGGTTTATTTCATAGTTTACATATGGATATATTTTTAATTTTTAAACTAAAATTTATATTTTACGGGTATGTTTTTTAGAAAATTGCAATCCGAATATCTTCTGCTGTTGCTTCTTTTTATTGTACCTCTTCATAAACAGTTGCAACATTTTATTTGAATTATTGCAATATTTAGTTTATTTCACGAACAATTGAAACCTTTAGTTTATATCACAAACAATTGTAACCTTTGATTTATATATTTAGTTTATTTCACGAACGATTGCAACATTTGATTTATATATATTTTTTTGTATTTCACGAAAAATTGCAACCTTTGGTTTATTTTACAAATTGCTATAACATCTAATTATCTACCGTCGCGTCTCTCGGTATAATTTTCATAAACTAATATTTTTAATTTTTAATTACCAAAATGCATTTAAATGAGATTGTAATCGTTTAATTGAACCGTTGAAACATTTGGTTTATTTGACCAATCATTGCAATTTTTGGTTTTGTTTTACAAACCATTGTAATCTTTAGTTTATTTGACGAACTTGACGAACCGCTACAACTTTTGATATATCGCAACATTTCATTTACTTCTTTTTAAACTAAAAAAATTATTTTACGTTATGTTTTTTGAGAAAGTTGCAATCCGAGTAAATATTTTTTACGGTTGCATCTTTTTATCGTAATTTTTCATAAAATGATTGCAGCCGTTTAGTTGAACCATTGCAACATTTAGTTTATTTCACGAAAAATTGCAACTTTAAGTTTATTTTATAAATCGTTATAACATTTAATCATCTACCATCGTTATTATTAATTTTCGTTTGATATTTTTTTTTAACGATTTTTGAAATATTTTTCCCCGCGACATCGCGGGGGTCCGGAGTCCTAGTATATAGAATAGTAATTTAAAATTTTACATCTCCTATTTTTGAGATTAATAGTTTAAAAGGAAAAAAAAAAGAAAGTTTTACATCTGTCAAAACAAAATCCGCCTTGGCCGATTTATCTCAATCGGTAACGTACGACATTTGCTATTTGACTGTATCTCTGCACATATAAAAAATGGAGAGCTTCTTCGTCTCCCGATTATCTAACTCAAAAGAATTAGTCCTTCTTTGTCCCACTCGGTAACGTACGTCATTTGCTATTTGCACATTTTTAAAAAAAAAATGGAGAGAATCTTCCAAAGCTTAGTCGTGCTTCTTCTTTGTCAATTCATCTTCTTCTTCTTCTTCTTCTCGACGAGATTAAAGAGACGACATTTCTTAGTTTCCAGAAATTCGTTGCACTGATGAAATAAATAACTGTGTCGATATTTTATTTTTTTCTTGAGTCATTGTTTGGTTTGAGAAGAACACTTTTTGCTTCGATTTTAATCATCTTAGAAAAGGTAGAATTAGGATGGATTCTCTGATTGTTATATATATATATATTTTGTATACCTGAATTTATGTATTCATGCTTAGATTTTTTCAATCAAAATTTGCAATGTTGCTGCAGCAAGTTTCTGCTTCCTCTGACTAAAACGTTTGAAGAACTTTTGTTAGATATATTTTGGAATTGAACTCCGATGACGACGACGGCGGAAACTGGACAATCCTCTGGTTAGCCTTGTAGTGCTGACTTCTCTAATTGATTATATCTCATTTATTGTTCAGCGAATTTTTCGAATATCTATCGTCTCTTTTCTTGTGGTGTTTCCATTGAAGAATTCACTTTCTTAGTGTTCCATTACTTGTTTTTTTTTTCGATTCCTCATTATTCTCAAACTACTGCACTGTCATGTTTGAGTCTTTCATAATGATTCTGTTCAAATTTGCAGTTCCTCTGGACACCAAATTCTCAGACATCGAGATTAAGTGCGATGATATGGTAATATGCCCTGAGATTAAACCATCAATAACAAAGAATTTGGGTCAAGGTTCTGCCACTATACATAACAAGAGGTATGCCAATAACTTGTCATTTAAGTTACCTTCTTTTGCAATGTCTTATTATAAGTAGACAAAAGATCTTTATTTATCGAACCGGCGTATGAATAACATTTTTAACTAGCTTCAAGTATCACTCTTCTCTCTGCTGCTAATTTTAGTTAAATTAAAATCTTGTTTTGGATTTCTTTTAATCTTTTGGTGTTGGTGTTTTTGTTTTCTTAGTTTACCATCAGATCTTTCTTTATTTTGATTTGTTGCGCTTTCTGGTACTTGCTTAGTTCGGATGCTATACTTGTTGACGAGGCTGTTGTCCTGAAAGATGGTGCTGTTGATATCATGAGTGGATCTGAAATTGTTCCTGTCCCTGGAGGAGAAGGTAAGACCTGCTAATATTTTTTATCTCTTTGAGTCCTGAATTTATTTCCTAAAGCCTATTTGTTTTCATTCAAGAAAATGGTTGTTTTTCAGAATGGATGCAGAGATCTGAGGAAAAACCTCAACAAGTGTTATGTCCACAGTGCAGATCAACAGTACAATATGTGGGGAAAAATATACAAGAGGTAGAATTATCTGTTCACTGCAAGCACTTTCTTCATTGGACTGATCAATACCTTCATATGTCAACACATGTTCTCACTTTTTTGTTGTTACCAGACAGAAACTCGAAACAGCAAGTTAGAGATGCAGTCTGTAAACAATAAGGCTTCCATTGAGGAACTTGATGAAGTTATTGAGAGTCTGTGTGTGCCTTCTGAGGTTTGTTTCACTTTATTTTTACCATATGAATAGTTTTTGTGCTTGCTTCTCCTCTGTCTAATTGGTTCGCTTATAGAATCGTTGTTGATTTTAGTATGCAGCATCCTTAACAGGAGGCTCATTTGATGAAGCAGACATGCTCCAGAATATTGATGCTTGCGAGTGGTTAGCCAAAGCTTTAAAGGGTCTTGAAGTGCCCAACTTAGACCCGATCTATGTTATTATTCTAATTTTTCACATTACGTTTTTGAATAGAAAAGTACATTAATAATTGTCTGAAACATTCATAGAAGTGTGTCTATTATGTATTTTCTTCAGGTAAAAGAGAAACGAGCAGAACTAGATACATTAAAAGCTACTTTTGTAAGGAGAGCTTCAGAGTTCTTGAGAAACTACTTTGCTAGTCTGGTAGATTTCATTGTTAGCGACAAAAGCTACTTTTCTCAGGTACTACTTGCGTAAATTTCTATATATCCAATATGAAGTCTAGTGATTATAATTCTGAATATTTATCGCCGCATCTTAAAACAGAGAGGGCAGCTGAAGAAGCCTGACCATGCAGATTTGCGGTACAAATGGAGAACGTATGCTCGCCTTTTGCAACATTTAAAGGTAAAACCGAGAAGTGACTAGGTGACATTCCAAATGTTCAGTGCAGTACAATGATTCCTTGTCTCCTTCCTTGTTGCAGGGTCTTGATAAGAATTGTTTGGGTCCATTGAGAAAAGCATACTGCAGCTCCCTGAATTTGCTCCTTCGTCGGGAGGTGAGGAGCACTTATTCTTTTCTTTATCAATGTGACCGCTGATTTACTGGAACCCTTCATTGACAAAGGCTGCTAAAACCTACTGAATGTTAAAATGTGTTGATATTCAGCAATTCGGTTACCAAAGATTTATTTCTTCAAAATGTACAGGCTCAAGAATTCGCGAATGAGCTTCGCGCAAGCACAAAAGTATCCCAAAATCCCACTGTCTGGCTAGAAGAATCTACGGGTTCTAATCAGAATGCAAACACTGACACCTCTGCAGTGGCAGATGCCTATGCCAAAATGCTAACAACATTCATCCCTCTTCTTGTAGATGAGGTAATTGTTAACCCATTGATTTTCAGTTTGGCCTTTAGATGCAACTGATGTATGTACCAAATACTCATGTTTCTTTTTGGCTTCATACTATAGAGTTCTTTTCTTGCGCACTTCATGTGCTTTGAGGTACCGGCTCTTACTCCTCCTGGAGGTGCTGCCAGTGATAACAAAAACCGGTCCAACAATGATGATTTGGCATTGAATGAATCTATTCGAGATTTACTTGATAGTATTCTGGTAAGACGTCCCTCAATATAATGTTTATATGTTTTTTTTTTGGGTTAAAATGTTTATATGTTAAGATCTAGAGTTAAAGTTCATTTATCTTACTAAATAAGAGATTTGTGTTCTTGTCACTGCAGGAGGATATCTATGTTGTTATTGACTGGGCATATAAAATAGATCCCCTACTGTGTATATCAATGCATGGTATAACTGAACGTCAGAAAGCCGATACTGCAGGATTTGTTCGCCTTTTGCTTGAAGATCTGGAGTCGAGAGTTTCTATGCAATTCAGCCATGTATTCTGTCTACTCAGAGAGATTGTTTAGCTTTTCTTCCTGGCATATCATTTCTACTAATCAATTCAAGTTAACTATAAATTGCAGTTTGTAGATGAAGCTTGTCACCAAATCGAAAGAAATGAACGTAATGTGAGACAGATGGGTGTCTTGCCTTATCAAGGTAATCAGGAAGTCCATATTGTTAAAAATAGTAAAGTGCCATGTGAATAATTGAGGCTATCCTAACATTATTATCTCATTTTCATAGATTTGCAGCACTTGCTACTCGTATGGAACAGTACATACAAGGGCAATCTAGAGATTTGGTTGATCAGGCATATACAAAATTTGTTAGTACTGCTATTCCTATGAGTTTATAGCATTTGACCAGTGAAATTACACAAACCATGCAAGCAAAGAGTGTCTCTGCATTTACTAGCTGACAGAGTCTGACTCGTAATGTTTTGTAGGTAAGCATAATGTTTGTGACCCTCGAGAAGATTGCCCAGCAAGATCCTAAATATGCAGATATTCTCCTTTTAGAAAACTATGCTGCTTTCCAAAATAGGTAGGTCCTTTTCTAACCCGCTTTCTCTCTTGGTTTATCTTTTTTTTCCCGACTACTCATACGCCATAACCTCGTACTTTTTGTGTGTGCAGCTTGTATGAACTGGCTGATGTTGTACCCACGTTAGCCAAGTTCTATCATCAGGCAAGTGAAGCATATGAACAAGCTTGTACGCGCCACATTAGCATGATAATTTACTACGTAAGTGGTGCTTCACATTTGCAGCTAATATAGCATAACTCTCTCCTACTTATGTTTTTCCCATTCTTTTGGAGTTAATTGTAGTTCCTTCATATGTTCTTTCGTCCCTGCAGCAATTCGAAAGACTTTTCCAATTTGCTAAAAAAATTGAGGATTTCATGTATACTATCACCCCTGAAGAGGTTAGTTGTTAGTTAACTAGTTTCACCAAAGTTTCACTTTCTCATTAGTGTTGGCGACTCGGCTAATACATTTTTTTCTATATTTCAGATACCATTCCAACGTGGTTTGTCGAAAAAGGAACTCCGAAAGATGTTAAAATCAAGCCTGTCAGGGGTAAAAATATGTTCACTGAGAGTGTATTAATTGTTCACAGACCTTTTACCATATAGCTTTCAACTTCTTCTCTTTGTGTTTAGGTGGACAAATCTATTGCAGCAATGTATAAACAGTTGCAGAAGAATTTAACATCGGTGGAGTTGCTGCCACCGTTGTGGGATAAATGCAAGGTACCAAATTAAACTGAAAAGTTGAAGAGAGTATTAAATAACAGTGCATTATTAGCTCAATGTTTGAATCAGTGTGTTGTTGTGTGAACTTGAACAGAAGGAATTTCTGGACAAGTACGAGAGCTTCGTGGAACTTGTAGCCAAAGTTTACCGCCGAATGAGAACGTTCCTGGGGTTACTGAAATGAGGAGACTTCTGGCTTCCATGTAAAAAGAAAACAAGTGACTGAAGGCAGTTGTTTTATATGTTGGAATGTTAAAACCTGCGCACTATAAGTAAAAAAGATTGTGTTCTTTCAATACACAAAGAAAATAATGTATTGACATTAGTGTGGATTTTGGTGTAATGATTTGTCACCAACCATAATTTCTCAGTATTTTTCTCTTTTCTTTCTTTTGATTTTAATTCATTTGCATAATCTTGCATCGCCTTGAAAAGTTTATTAGCTCTTTCAATGATAGACTCTTATCGTCGGCTATTGAAAAATACAAGCAAGAAAGTGCTCGAGAAGCTAGAGGATAAATTGAGGTCCGCAAAATGATATTTCGAAGACGAATGGGTTTGCGAGGGAGACGAAAGAGTCAGGTTTAACATTTTTGACTTGTAGAAGTCTATCTTTGTTGAATAAGCAACATCCAAAGTGATATAAGGAGTAGGATTCTTAGCGGCTTGTTTTCATCTCGTGTTAGAAAGGCTGCTTCGTGTTATGCATTATGTGTACACAAAAGATATTAAAGCGAAGAATGGAGTATATCAGAATAATGGCTATTAGATAGCAGAAATGTCGCACATTGGAAGTTGGGAGATTTCTACACTAATATATAAGGCCATAAGGGTCATGGCCTCATGGGCCTCTTGTAATGGCAACAATTCGATTCAATGGGGATTTATCAGGATAACTAGGGAATTTTTTTCTCTCGGTTTAGTTTAGAGGTCTGGATCGCGTTGTGATTGCTTTTTTTTATCTGTTGTTTTTTTTAATTAGTTTTCCTTGTACCAAAAAAAAAATAGAGGAGAAATTGAGGTGTGTTGAGGCTGTTTCAAATGCAATTATAAATTTATGAAGCAATTATAAATAGATACGGTTCAACTCAGTTCGGTTCGATTCGGTTCGATTCGATTTAAACGCAGGCCAAAATAAGATTCTCTCATAACCAAAATTTCGCATTTCGCCGATTTGTCAAATTGGTAACGTACGGTCATTTGACATATTCCGGTGTGGGCAGACTGTTACACAAATTAAACCTTTATTAAAAAAAATAAAAATGGAGAGATTCTTCAACAGAGAGAAACCCTAGACGAATAGAAGAATCGTGCTTACCACTCTCTTTCTCGAATCATCTTCTTTCTTAGTTTCTGTTGAAACCTCTTATTTTCGAGTATCTGCTGTTCCTACGAGGTAATTTCACCACCAATGACACTGTTTCGATCAATTTGAATTGGATTTTAGAATTCGTTGCGGTGATGAACTAACCGCAAGTCTGCTTCCTCAGAATATTAAGTCAAAAACGTTTTTTTTTTTTCAGATTTCGGAATTGAAGTCCAATGACGACGACGGCGGAAACTGGACAATCCTCTGGTTCAAAACCTTCTGATGATGCATGGGCTAAACTGGGTCAGTCTTGTTTCCTTGTGCTGCTGACTTCTCTAATTGATTACAAGTTCTCATTTTTATTCTATTGACGAATCCACTTTTTATTTCTTGTGGGTCTTTCATAATGATTCTTTACATATTTGCAGTTCCTCTGGACACCAGATTCTCAGACATCGAGATTAAGTGCAATGATATGGTAATATGCTCTGAGATTAAACCGTCTTCTGTGGAGAGACATGAATGGTGCAGAATAATAAAGAATTTGTGTCATGGTTCTGCTACTATACATAATAAGAGGTATGCCAATAATTTAAGTGACCTTCACTAGCAATGTCTTGTATTTATCTAGACCTGGAAAGCAAAGATCTTCTTTCTCCAACATATTGATTTGATAACCTCTTGGTTTTTGGCTACACAATTTTGTTTTGGATTTCTTTTACGCTTTTGCATGTTGGTGTTTTGTTTTCTTAGTTTACCATCACATATTTCTTTATTTTGATTTTGTTGCGTTTTCTGGTGCTTGCTTAGTTCGGATGTTATACTTGTTGATGAGGCTGTCATCCCGAAAGATGGTGCTGTCGATATCAGGTGTGGATCTGAAATTGTTCCTGGCCCTGGAGGAGAAGGTTAGACCTGCTTACATTTTTGTCTCTCTGATTCCTGAGTTTATCTCTTGAAGTGAAAATGGTATGGATAATTGTACTAGTCGAGGGCGATGAAATGCTCTACTTAAAAATAAGAATATGTTCTGCAGTCTTGTTACATTGTATCTATGTTGGAAGAAAGTAATTGGTATGATTATCCTCATCTGTAATTGTTTCTCATTTAAGTAGTTATGAGCCTCTGATACAGAAGCTGAAGTTTCGTACTTTATTTCAAGTTACTGTTCGTATGGGTTATCTTTGTTGCTGAAGTTACGTTTAAGAAAATAAATTTCTATATATTTTTAATTTGATTTTGTGCAATTTGGTAGGTTACTTGCAGTACAGATTTACAATAATGCCTGCTCCAGAATCTAGAACCCAGCTATTACAGGTGCTCTATGATCTCCACTCATAGTCCATAATCCTACATTTTTGAAACTTTATGTCGAATTTCTTATCTCTCTTTTCCAGATTTCCATAGATCCTGAACATGCAAAATGCAGTATCTGCTTAAACATATGGCATGATGTTGTCACAGCTGCACCTTGCCTTCATAATTTCTGGTCTGTCATTTGTTGATTTTGTTTTAGTTCTCATCCATGACAGATATATTTCACTATATTGGTAGTTGATGGTTGATGTCTTCTGCTGTCAGTAATGGCTGTTTTTCAGAATGGATGCGGAGATCTGAGGAAAAACATAAACATGTGTTATGTCCACAGTGCAGAACAACAGTACAATATGTGGGTAAAAATCATTTTCTGAAAAACATACAAGAGGTATAAATATCTGTTTGCAAGCATTTTCATCATTTATATTTTACATATGAATGTTCTTTCCATTTGGAACTCTTCTCCTGGAGAATCTGTCTCATATATTCTTGTGCTTCATTTATGCTTGAGCTTTTGATGAATAATTCAGCTCTTATGTTAGGATATATTAAAAGTGGATGCTGCACTGAGGCGACCAGCTGAAGATATTGCAGTGTTGGACTCATCTGCATCGATACAATCAAATCTTGTAAGTATTTGCTGCAATATCTTCTATTAAGTAACTGTTTTTGGAGATATATAAAGCCGTTATTATCAAAGATTAGTTTGTCTTGCACTACATTAACTTCTTTGGTGTAGTTACTAACAAATCATTACCATTTCTTAAACACGCTCATGGTATTTCTGGTGAAAGTAGTCTTGAGTTATACATACCTGCCATGTTGTCTTAAATACTACAATTGACATACATTTTAGATCATTGGGAGCAAGAGAAAACGTCGTTTGAATATGCTCTCGCCCACACTTGAAGAAAGAGATAACTTGCGTTTGCAATGCCCACAATGTGGTAATATAAATTTATCTGGCTGCGTCTTAATATCTTTCTACAGTATAGGAAAGCTCTATATTTAGTGGATAGACTACTTATCAACATTTATTTCTTGGGAAGGAGGTGAAGTGGGATAATTAGGAACTAGTAATTGATTAGGACTCTAAGGTGGATCTCGGGTTCTATCAGTTCTTGTTTGTCCAGAAATTCTCTCTGTTTTCATATGCCCATCTGTAATATCTAGTTTAATAAGGTTTTCCTTTATATCTCTAAGATTCTGCCGTTTCCACTTACTACTTTTAACTAGTGTCCTTATTATTTCGTCTTTTTTCAGTCCTTACAACAACACTCCTTAATTGTAGTTTTTTAATGGTTTGACTTAATAAATTTAGTATATGATTGAGGTGATTTTCCAAGAGTAAGAACCTAAACTTGTGCTACAAATTTGTTGATGGCGGAGAAACTTTGAGACTAGAACTTGAACCCATTTTTAAGATCTCTCTTCTAGGTATTCTCCTAGTTTATTGAAGATAAATTGATTCAAAAGATACCAAAAATAATTTGATTCTACTCCTAGTAAAGAAGAAAATGTACTTGAGAAATCTAAAATAGATGAGGACTAGTGGTACAATCGAAAAATGATGTTATTCACGGGTTTTTTTGCAGCATTCCTGTCTTCTGGAAGTTGATTTATTCTATTTATGCCATTGGCTCTGTTTCAGTTGCTAATATTGGTGGTTATCGGTGTGAACATCATGGTGCACATCTACAATGCCACCTGTGTCAAGGAATGATGCCCTTTAGAGCCAATCTCCAAGTGCCGTTACACTGTAAGTTACAGTACATGCTTCTTTGTTTTGCATCTAGCTCTCAAGACTGGTTGCTGTTTTTTTTCCCGTCTTGATATTGTACGTTCATTGTTGTTGTTGCTTTCCATTGCTCAACTTGGAATATTTGTACCAAGTGAATGGATGCTGTATGTCCTGTTGGTAACCATGTTTTGAATAATATCTAATATGTCGTCTGCTAAACTGGGTAATAAAAACATTGGGATTCTGGTAGAATACAGAGACGAATATTTGTCTGTTTCTTAGAGCTGGGTATTGCAAGGTTAGGCTGATAAGTGAATAATATTTAAACATGTTCAGTAGGAAAGGAATCTCTGACAATTATATATACATACACTTAACTCTAGTTTATTGCAGGCAAGGGGTGTGATAGGCCGTTTTGCGGTGCTTACTGGAGTTCTGAAAATGTTACACAAGGTGTATCTAGTCCAGTCTGCGGTCGCGAAACTTTCAGACCTGTAGGTTGAGCTATGAATGTCCAATGTTTACCTATGCTAGTTATGTTGATACTGTTGTATGTTATCTGAGTTTAGAATGATGTAGTTAAGACTGATATTTTAAAACTCTTACTTTAACTTGGCTTTTTTTTTCCTATCTGAGGTATTGCAATGCAAAACGTCACTGTGGTTAGGATTACTATGATCAAGATAGTTTTGTTTATTTGTTCTTTCAGTTTTCGACATTTACCCTGTGGTTTCCCTTCTGCTCCAGTCGCTTGCATGAGAATGTTCGTAAGATATTTTTTCTCATTATTTCTCACTAATATCTGCAGATTTCGGAACGCACAGTTACAAGGATTCCATTCATAACCCATGAAATGAATCGCCATGAACAAGATGTAAGGAATTTTGTTTAACAGCCTATTGCTTTTTATTTTCTTTTGGTGACATTCTCTGTGGATTTTATAGATAACGCAAAGATGCATTACCCATATGGGGAAAACTGTGCCGGATGTTGTAGCAGAGTGGCTCAGGCTTTTCAACAATAGAGAAATTGGTAATCTCAAGATTTTCAGTTTATAGCTATAGGCCTATAGCACATGAAACGTTAGACATTAAAAACGACTGAACTTGATTTACCTCCTTGAGCTCTACAATGAGGAAATAGATCTTATCATTCTTGATTTGCTTATGTCTTATGTATTGAGTTGTAATGATATCTTTGTATTCAGACCGCTCGAGAATGCCTCTCAATCATGCTGAGATGATAACTGCATCAACACATGTTTGCAAGTAAGTTACTGGTCTAGTGTGGATACTCTTCAAATTTAAGGTCTTTAAGTTTCTTCCGATTGTGTTGAATGTTATCTTATTATACATGCAGTGATTGTTACGATAAGCTGGTGGGATTCCTATTATACTGGTTCCGGATAACACTGCCGAGAGATCATTTGCCAGCGGATGTAGCGGCGAGGGAAGATTGTTGGTATGGATACGCATGTAGGACACAACACCACAACGAAGATCATGCTCGTAAACGTAACCATGTATGTCGTCCTACCAGAGGGAACCATCACTTTTAGTCCTCATTTCTTCTTTCCTCAGACAAGCTTTTGATTGTATTTTGGGATATTCTCTGTATACTAGAAACTGATCAAAATGGATAATCTATTATCTGCTAATGCTATATACTATAGAAGATGGTGTCGGGTCTAAAATATCGATTTTGCTTTGATAATAATAGTAATGATATTCTAGAAAAACAACAATTATCTTTTCGAGTGTTGAATTGTTAACTATTTTGTTAAATAGACTTCTATTTTAGACATATATTAGATAAACCATTTTCTTAGCAAAAATATATTAACAACTGAAATTAACCCGCGGTGTACAGCAGGGCTATATGCTTTAAAAAAAAATTAAAATTTATTTTTTTTAAAATTATCTATGGATATAACCTATTGTTTTGTTTGATTTAAATGTATATATTATATATATTATCTCGCGGTACAGCTCGGATCGATATTTTATAACTGAAATTTTAAATTTTAAATTGTAATTGTTTTGTGTATATTATTTGTTTTGTTTAGTGTTTAAAATTATATAATTTATTTGATTGTTAATTCTAGGATTTCACCCGTAGTATACCGTCCCGTATTAATATCGACCAAACATGTCCCACCTTATAACCCCGTCCCGTAAAATTCATTTTGTTATATATATTTTGAATAATATTTATATTATTGTATATACAATTTGAGTCAATTTAAAATTTTGCTTTAAAAATGTCTATCGTAAATTATAGTGAAACCCATGATTTATTTCAAAAATATCTCCGAAAATGTAAATATAGATATTTTATATATATACATTTTTGCATCTATTTTATGAAATAAATCCTAGATTTTAAATTTATTTACGATCAAATGTCATTGTCTTAAATTCTTAAAATTTTTTATATAATATATTTAACAAACGAATTAAAATAAGAAACGAATTCAATTATAATTTGTTTCCACAAATATCGAAATTAATCTTTCTAACTTCCCGAATATTTAATGTGATCACAATTACTAACTCCAACATAATCTTTTTTTTTTGTCAACAACTCCAACATAATCCATTCTCTGTTTTTTCTCCCCAAATTTTTCATCACAACGATTTTATAGAAACTATTAATTACTCTTCAATTTCGTGATATTTGCATATTTCGCAAAAAATCCAATTACATATATTTTGTCCCATTTTAGTTAAGATATCAAATATATTATTCTTGTCCACTAATAATTTTATGACTTAATGTGTAACGTCTATCCGACTGAAAAATTTCCAGTACAAAGTATTGATTTTGACCCGACCCACGATGGTAATTTTTGTAAATAGTTTTCAAAACTAAGGGTTAATCCCAAATATACTCTAAAAATTGTATATATAGATTAATATTTAAGAAACTCATAAAAGATCTAGGGATGAAGATGGTCTAAGGTAAACACATTTAATTCAAGTACATACGATCTAATTTTTTTTTGTTGTTCATCAGACATGATCAAAGTGTATATACATTATTTTACTTATGAAACAAAAATAAAATAACATGTAATTATTGTTTCAACGTATAAGACCATGTACATAGCAGAACTTTTAAGAGTATCAGAAGCCCATTTATTATTTTTAAATAGACCAAACATGTTTTATGGGTCTGATCCGTATCAGCCCAGTGAAACTCATGATACTGGGTATCATGTGACGTGGCAGGGCGTCATTGGTCGCGGAAAATTCTTTTGCGAACAGCAGAGAAAAAAAAAAAACATTTACTTTCTCTCAATTTTTTCTCTCCTCCACGGTTCTTTCATCCGAGACAAATATGGAGGGACGTTGTGTTATAGCTTGAGAAATACAAGGTTGTTTGTTTAGATTCATAGGATTGAATCAAGAAATAGATTTGCTTGATTGGGTTTGATAAGAATTGGTTTATGGCTGCAAAGTTTCTGGTTTTTGCTGAGCGCAGACAAGGTGTTTGATAAATTGCCAAAGAGAAAAACGGATTGGGTTTATGCAAATTTAGTTAGCTGATGGATGAGAATCAAATAGTGAGTATGTGTAATTTCGCTATAGGTTTTGTTTTGAAAATGAATCTTTTAGACTTGAAACGCTTTCTCAAGCTTATGACTTGTGGATATAGGGAGAGGAACTGAGAAAGCAAATTGGTGCAGCCGTGCAGATGCTTATATCGAGTGCAGTTCCAAGACTCAACAAGTAAGTTCCCTGATTCAAGAAGTAATGTTTTGGTGAGAATGTTAGAATCTTATGATGACTTTACTTTGGTTATGTTGTAGAACGTGAAAGCGGTTGATTAGTGCAAAATGGTTGATTAGTGGCTTCTTATGCAGAAATAGGTTGCTATGATTGATTCTGTGGCTATTTATTACTGTGTCATTTCAAAGTTGACAATGAATTAGCCGGTTGGGTCACATATACCTTCCTTTTGTTCATTTGTTGTGTAATTCTGTGTCTATGTAGTACTATTTAGTACAAAATTCACCGATTGTTAGGTAATCCTGGGTCTGAACGGTGTGTGATAAATATGGGTATAAAATCCAATATATGTCATTAGTTTTCTTGCTTTACATCTGTTTGTTTCTGTGATCACCATAAATATATGATGTTTGGGTTATTTACATTCTGATGGACTAAACTGCCAGTGCTGCTTGCATTTTCTGTTTATGGTATCATTGTTTTTTGGTTGCGTTTTGTGGAATTCTTATTTAGTTTTGCAATATCGAAAAAGAAATGAGTATATCTCAAGTGCTTGTCCATATTAATCCGAGATGACCATTGAGACTTTAATTGTGCTCGTGAACCTGCAGATCTTTTGATTTTCTGCCTCCAAACCAAGCAACCTTGTCAAGACATTCATTTCTAGGTCCGAATGGTCTTAAAAGTCAATGGGTTGCTCCCACGTCGGAGATAAAGGTATAGTGCTGACCATTGTTATCTTTTTCTACTTGGTCCAATCCAATGTTTAATTATCTTATATTTGAAGGAGCTGAGAAAAATCTTTATTTGTATGGAACACCGATTGAATGTCCTTACAAGGATCTAGCTGCAACAACTGATGTTCAATTTCTCTTTAATACATAAGGCATGCTTTTAACATTGTTCAATTTCTCTTTAAAAATGCGTTCTCTAAATTGTAATTATTACATTTTCTTATCATTGTATAAAAAGATAAAAAAAACTTCCTTTGTTAAATTTAGTCTACAAAAGAAAATTTCCATTCCCTTTATTTTAAATACATATATATATATATACTAGCTTAATGTTATTTTGACTTTTACGTTTTTTTTTCTTAAGTATATTCTACGTTTTTATAGATTGTAATATTATCTTTTGTAATCCCATATTTTTATATATTTATTTTTGATTTTGCAAATAATTTTTTTTTTATTAATGATACCGATACCGGTCTCACCGCTGGAAACAGATTTATCACCAGTATCATAAAAAATCTCAAACAATAAACAAATATTAAAATTAATACTAAAAAATTGTTAATGATACTCTATGAGAATCAACTATGTGCATGCTCTAAGAATCAAAGAGGTTACAAAGACCACAAATAATGTAGTACCGGTGAGACCACGGTATTTTAAGAAGTCTTATGTGATTGAAGCAATGGTTGGGATATACTCATGAATCGCTAGTAGTAGTAGCAATAGTAAAACGTGAGCCATTGGTTTCATGAATTTGTGTATCTCCTCCGTACTAATCTTTTATGTTTTAATTTTATCACCCTCAACCAAAAAGGAAAATATGCGCTTTTATGCAAACATATGTAAATGTAGTAGTCATTTGAAGAAGAATGTCTCAGAGTGTTTTGAAAATGTAGTTGCTTTGTGTGTTTGTTAATGTGAAGAGATGTAAAGGTAGAGTGTATATATAGGCGAGTTCCAATTAGGTCAATAATCTTTTGGTTGCCAATAAAAATTTATTTGCAACCTCAACTAAATTAGATCAAATCTTTTCAATCGAATAATATGCAACTAATCCGTTTTTAATACAATCTAATAGTTTCTATTGTCGAGATAATAAATTCAATATTTTGTCAAGATTTTATGGCAAATAATTGAACATAACTTTGATTAATTCGTTTTTCTATAGATATTGGAAGGAAGAATCTTTCAAATTTAATGTGGTGAATTAATAGTAGAAGAAGAAATCTCGAGATATATATTTGTAAAGAAACCGTATTGATTTTTCTAGAGAAAACTAATTAAATTGTGGCTTATAAGATAAAGAAACAGAATTGAATTTTTTTAAGAAGACTATTTTAATTAAATGCAATCTAAAATCTCGGAGGTAAGATAAAGAAACTGAATTTGATTTTTTGGAAGAATACTATTTTAATTGATGCTTATCGAGTTGTTAGATATACGTAGATTAGGAATATCGAAAATGATAATTTGGTATTAATTAAATGCTCTTAAAAATCTCGTAAGTAAGATTCTAGAAACTAACGTTTGAGTTAATATGGAGATATTTTCGCAATATTGTTATACGGCAAATCTTAATCTTTAAATATGAAAAAATAATTAAATGCAGTGGCATGGACTCAGTAAATATTTACTAAATGTACTCCAAAAATGTATATATAGATTTATGAATTAGCCATTTTTTATTTTTCACTTGCCAATACAAAATTAACTTCAATATAAAAAGATCAGTTTGCATATATAAACCAAAACTCAATTAAAATGTAACCAAAACTCAATTAAAATGTTAAGTTATCTCAAAAATCTTGATAAATTATAGTGTGAATATTTTTGGGTCTTTTTTTCTGATCAAAAGTTTTGGGTCTATGTTGTTCAATCTATCGAAGTCGTCCTTTTTCATATTTTCCATGGGTAAAAATGTAATTTGGTAATCATCGTCAGATGTGATTTGCAGAAACCCTAGAGCGGCGGTGGCAATTGATTTCTTCATTCATAATTCATCATAAACTTATAGATCCAGCACAAATAATCCGAATCGACCACAAAACAAAAAAAAAACAAGCTTTTGAAAAAGTCTTCAGATCTTTTATCTGTTCATGGCCAAATCAATGCGGCTACCAAATTGAATTTATCAATTAAAACCAATTCTATAAAAAAAAAAAAAAAATTGAATCAAAACGTGGCTCAGAAGTGCTTGAAAGGTAATCACGAGATTAAAAAATCTCAATCATGTGATAAAAGGTCATTTTTTTCTTCATCATCACCACAATTTTTTTTTTTAAATCAGAAAAACAACAACACAAATTGAAATTAACCGTAAAATATACACAAAAAATTATACTTTTAAACGACCCAAAAATCGTTGTTGATCTTAAAAGGATAACAAACAAACAGAATCTGTAACCTTAAAACCCTTTTTCAAAATCAACAATGATTTTTGCTCGCTTGAAAACATAATTTTGACAAATCGAGATTTAAAGATTTGTGTTTCTGAATAAATTCTCAGTGTTTCAGTTGTATATATAGTAAACCCAGTAATTAGGGCAAAACCTTATTTCCAAAAGACCAAAATAGCCCTAACAATGTTAAAAAATTTCGAAATTACTCTCACAGTTTCCTTGGTGTCTCCGCCATTACCCTCCAAAACTCGATTCTTCTGCTTCTTCGAAATTTCTAAGCCTAAAGTTTGATAATTTATCTCGAAAGACATGATTTTTTCCATTGCAACAAGCTCTGTTACGAACCCAATGCTCCATCATCACCATCTTAGTGACTTCAACAGAAACAGAGTATCTACATCTGTCAAGATAATAAACTCGAAGAATCACAAAAACCCAAGAAAGTAAAGTTCCTCTCTCTTTAATTTTCTCTTTCAGGCATTTTAACGAACACATTACGTGCATTCACTAACAAGTGCAAATAACATACTCTGTTTTGGCAGGTGTGAGTGTTTTGATCTCTATGATCAGTTAGTTCCATACAAGAAAGCTTGGTCATGGCAAAAAACAATTGTCAATGAGAAAATAGATATGATTGATAGAAACCAAGAGTGCCCAGATACAGTGATTTTACTACAACATCCACCAGTTTACACAATGGGAACTGGAAGTACAGAGAATTATCTCAATTTCGACATAAAGAATGCTCCTTTCGATGTTTATAGAACTGAACGTGGTGGTGAAGTTACTTATCATGGTCCTGGTCAGGTAAAAACACATTGAGTCTCATTTGTTTTCTATCAAATTAATCAATATTTGAAGCTAATGATTGTTAGTGAATGTGAAATGTAGTTAGTTATGTATCCTATAATCAATCTCCGGAATCATAAGATGGATCTTCATTGGTACCTAAGGAAGCTCGAGGAGGTTGTCATTCGTGTTCTTTCTTCGGCTTTCTCCATCAACGCTACTCGTGTTGACGGTTTAACTGGAGTTTGGGTTGGTATGTCCATGATTCCCACTTTTGTTTTCACTTCTTACTGTGGTTTGATCTGATCTTGCCAGTGAGCTAATACATATAATTTATATAGGCAACAAAAAAGTGGCGGCGATAGGTATTCGTGTGTCTAAATGGATAACATTTCATGGTCTAGCTCTTAATGTTACAACAGATTTAACAGCCTTTAACTCGATAGTTCCATGTGGGATAAGAAACCGCGGGGTTGAAAGTGTAAAGGGTTTGATTGAGGAAGGAGAACATGTAAATCGGGATGCGTTTGATGATAAGCTCAACGATTTGCAGTTGTTAAATATAGCTCATGAATCGTTATTAAAGGAATTCTCTGAAGTTTTCCAGCTTCAAATCGAAAAGCAAACAGTATTCAAAATGGAATGCTAACGGATTTGTGTCAATGGTACAACAAAAGCCTTGCATTTTCAATTTAGCATTTGTGGTTCTTACTCAGCTAACAAGTGATTTATGCGATGGTGGTTATGCAGGAAACTTTTTGTGGACCAGTGATAATAGGTAAAGAGAGGTTTTATTGGCTGTTTGTGAAGTTGTCTGTTTCTTGTAGATATTTTGTGTGAGAGATTGGTCTCTCTATTTCTCTCTCCAAAGAAAGCTTATCTGTTTCTCGGATTGACCACAAAGGGATGGCACTGGAAGCTGCTTTCTCCATGAGTTTTTGCTCCTTCCCTGTCCCCAAAGCAATATTCTTTGAGAGAGAAACTTCATCTTTTCAACGAATCATCTCGAGAGCAAAAGGAATTTCAGGTGAGGGTCAAGTTGAAAGCTGTATGGAACCCGAGAAAAGGATAAGCTCTGATGGAATTGAGACTCAAGTCAAGGAAACTGCTCACAAAGTATTTGATAAACTGCCTGAAAGAAATTTAGATACTTGGAGCGGTGGCAGAGTAACAGCAAAAGAACTTTCAGGCTCAGTAGTAAAAAACACGGTACGAAAAGATACTACTTTACGACATATCTCACCTTCTAGTCATTCAACAAAGGTTAGAGGAGCTAAGCAAGAGATTTCAGGTGAGAAGAAAGCTATTTTAGATAGAAGCAAGGCCTATGTAAAGCTGAAGTCTTTAGGAAAAGAAGTGCGAGACGCGGGCTATGTACCCGAGACGAAGTATGTTCTTCATGATATCGATGAAGAAGCTAAAGAGAAAGCATTGATGCATCACAGTGAACGGTTAGCTATTGCTTTCGGGCTTATAAACACGCCTCCAGGGACAACGATAAGGGTGATGAAGAATCTGAGGATATGCGGAGATTGCCACAACTTCATAAAGATATTATCGAGTATTGAAGATAGAGAGATCATTGTAAGAGATAACAAGAGGTTTCATCATTTTAGAGATGGTAGCTGCTCTTGTGGAGATTATTGGTAGACTTTTGTATGAAAATATGTGATTTTTAACAAATTTTTACGAAACTATTTTTTTTCTTGCTCATCTGCCAACTCTTTAATAAACATAGTACTCAAACTTGATGTCAAGATCAGTGAAATGGACAAACAGTAAATAAATAGCATCAGAATATACAAAGTATCAATCATACTCTTACTAATTCAGTTTGGCTTGCTATTTCCTGTTTCTTAGTAGCCTTGTACAAGGAATATACATAAGATGCAAACCCAAGGATCCCAGCTAACAGAGCTCCTCCCTTAAACCATTCAATGTCGTCATCCATAAACCGAAACGCCAAAACAACGAAAATGTTCGCTAAAGGTGTGGCGGAGAAGTTGACGACATTAGAGAAAACAGAAGAAGCCAAACACACAAGACCCACAAGTCCTAAAGACATTACTTGCCATGCAAGTGATAATCCGATGAGACTCAAAACGTAAAGTGGCTTCCCCTTCTTAAACGTCTCAAAATCTTCTTTTATATCTTTGTATTCACCGCTTACGAATAACCCTACCAAGTGGCTTCCCCTTCTTAAACGTCTCAAAATCTTCTTTTATATCTTTGTATTCACCGCTTACGAATAACCCTACCAAACATATCAATGTTGCAATCATAGAAGCATTGGTTTGCATCAGCATCACCGCGGAAACTCTACTCTCTGTATTTGGTATGACCTTTTGGAACCCTAATTGCATAATACATAGAGATAAAGAAAAGGCTACTGTGCCAAAGAAGGCACACCAAGCACCGTAGCTCATTTTCCATCCTTCACTTTCGCAGGGATAATAGGCGTCATCCGAAGATGTAATGCCCGTGGCAACTCCAGAAAGGACGATGGATAATATGATCCAACGGTTGAATTTGTGTTTGTTGATAATTGCTGTAAAGATGGAAGTGAAGATCAATTGTGTAGTAAAGATCCAAAAGAAAAACACACAATGAGTTCTCCCAATTGCATAGAGTTGGCTATAAGCCGCAAAGAGGACGCCGAGAGATATGTAAAGAAGAAATAGTAATGAAGAAGAAGAAGATGAAGAAGAAGATTGAGTTTCTGTAGGTGTGGAGAATAAAGAACGCCATAAGAGGAAAATGAAGGCTATAGATGGAAACGCTGCGTTTTGGACAAAAGACTGAAGCCATGTTAATTTCTAGCATGTTAATTTCTACAAGAAGAATTAATATAAAGTATATGTTTGTTTTTGTTGGTTTATTTCAAGAAGAAGAAGCTAATATTGGAGTTGAGAATCAACCAAGAGCAACGACTTCAATAGCTCTTGATCGGTCACAAATTCTCAAGACACCAAACTGGTGGATTTGTATCTTTGTCTGCTCTGGTTTGGTCGTAACAGGACGTGTTTTATCAACACTTCTTCTAAACTTCTACTTCATCCAAACAGGAAGAGATGCTTGTGATGATCCAAAACAATTTATAGAAATTAACATGCTAGCGTTTCCATATCTCCGGACCATAAGTCCATGGACCATAAGTACAAGCTCTTAACACACCAAATCTCCGGACCGAATAACACAAGGTATGTAAACCCATGAAGTTCCTTGTGAATAATGGACTAGAAATATTTGAAGAAAGTTTCACTCTAAATGGATTTTGCTCATACCAACATATAGATCACATACATGTATTGTATATATGATACATATTATTGATATATAGTCAAACATGCCAGCTAATACCCAACTGGAAGAAAATGTCAACGCGGCGCAAATGATCTATTATGTCGAACCAAAGCTAAAAGATAACTTCGTAATGCTTCAAACCTAAGCAAAACTAAATTATTTGCCACATGAATATATATATATATATAATGAGAAAACAAAACGTAAGTAATTGAGTTATTTTATCATCAACATTTTTTAGTTTGTTGAAATGTTGTTAATTGTTAAATATATTGATCAATCAAAACTTTTTTAATACAAACTCTGAATGAAAAAATAAAAGAAACAAAGAATAAGCCAAATTTGGTTATAATGGAATGTACAAAAACTTAATTTGGTTTGCAACACATTCCTAACGGACACCTAGCGTCTAACACCATTTTTGGAGAAGGGCTTCATAGTGTGTGATGAGGTTGAGAAATGCAAGAAGGTGACTGTTTCAGATTGTTTGATGGTTCGGATGTGAGATATGCTAGCGGCTGATGGTTGTTCATGTGTCTCTGTTCATATATCTCCTCCATATATGATACTAGTACATGTATCTTTCTTGTTTAGTTTCTCTAATTTCCTTATTTGGTTTTAATACAAAATAGGCATTACGCAACAAAAGTAATATGTGACACATCGATGATTTTCAACTGAGTAAATCCAAACCAAACCCCATCACGTTATGTAACATGCCATGAAACTCGTTAGAGTGGAGGACAAGAACTTGAAGCTTCTGCAAGGAATTCAACTGGAAGGGAAACATGTCGTCGATTCTATAGCTTCCCACATTTAAATTTCCAAAGCAGAGCAACCAATAAGAGAAGCAGGAAGGTTTCCCTCTATTCGGTTGTGACTGACATCAAGTGACATTAAGCTCTTGGCATTCAGAAATATTTCGGGAAGAATTCCGCTGAGTCTATTTTTATGGAGATTTAGATATGAAAGGGAACTCATCAGAGTCTCTAAACACCGAGGAATAGAGCCGTGGAGATTTTTGTTTGATAGATCTAGAAGAGAGCTTATTCCACATATTGATCGAGGTATCTCTCCAGTGAAGTTATTCTTTGAACTCAAATAGTATTTGAGATACTTCGAGGACGGGATGAAGAGTGGTCCATGGAAAGCATTTGAGCTTAGATCTACAGTACTGATGGCCAATCACTTTGTCCGAATTAGCATCACACGTAATGCCACCAAATTCCTATCTACAACTCTAGATTGTCTATCTATAGAATCTTTCCATGGATGAGTAATGTTATTCCTCTTCAAAATATTCTACTTATGTTTTGCTCATATTTTGCTTAGCTTTTGCTTACTTTTGATCAATTTGTTTTTTTTTTTTTTAAATTATTTCAATAATCATAACATATTCATAGATGTGTAGTCACTATACAAAATTTGCATCGAAAAAGTTCATATTGGTTATTTAGAACAAGGTGGATATATTAGTTACTCTAGTTTTTTTCAATATTTAATTTAATTTGAAACATTTAACTATATTATAATTTAAAAGATTTCATAAATTCTATCACCAAAAATTAAAAATTCTATCACCATAAATTCTATCACTAAAATTTGGGCTTATGAATCCATGGACTTATGGTTCTAGTTATTATATACAATATAGAATTTTTTTTTTCATAAGCGAAGGTTTATTTTTTTTTCAATCTAGGCACGGGCCTAAATGCATACCTTTCTAGATGAGTGAACTAAGTAACTATCAACTATTTTTAAGAAAGTATTATAAGTAGTATGCAAAAAGACGATGAGTAAAAGACAAACAATCACATAGATAGATGCATAAAGGCTTTCTCATTCAAAGTTAACATTATTTCTGAGAACACATAATGGAGTTGCCAAATTTGTTACATTGAAAAGGAAAAGTGCATAGGCCTCTAATATCTCATTTTAACTACAAGAAATCAGCCCATTAACGACTACAACATTAGTCGTAAAATAGTCGTTAAACATGAAAAGACGACTATCATACGACTAATATATATAGTCGTCAATCCGTAGTCACTAAACTTGTTAGTCGTTAAATTAGTCGTTATTTTGCGACTAAAGTACGACTATATCTGATGAAAGACATATTAGTCGTAACATAGTCGTAACTATAATACGACTAATTTACGACTATGCTACGATTAAACCGCATCTATAATTGGTCTCCTAAGTGTAGTCGTAACTTAGTCGTAAAGTTTTAGTGACTATGTTACGACAATTTGGCGACTAAAAATACGACTACGTTTATTAGTGACTACGTAGTCGTTAAATTTTGTGTCTAATATGCGACTATTAGACTACTATTTTTACGACTATTAGGCGACTATGTAGGTTGATAGAACAAAAGTTTGGTAGGCGACCCGAATTATAATTTGTTACGGTTCTGATTGTCATTCTATATCTATTTTTAAATATCAAAATTAACTTTTAAGGAAAGCAATAATACACATTAAGTTCTTGTTCAAACCATTTAAACATAGCAAACTACAAAAGTTACATATCACACATAATGTTCACGTCAATGTTCAAGGGAAAAGGAATAGAGTTGGGAAATAGAGCAACCTATGGATCTTGTTGGGGAATTGGCTCTGTGGTACCAGCTGAAGAAGAATGAGTGGCCATGAAGTGGAGGAATTGAGGATCAGTTTGACGCAGATACTTCTCCACCAAGGACAAGTGCTCGAGCTTGTCCTTTTGCTCAGCCGCGACTCGAGCTTGCTCAGCTTCACGGGAAGCAACCTCAGACTCTCGCCTTTCATTATATGCAACCTGCTCTTCTATTTTGCGGTGAGCATCCTTTAGCTGTTCTTCCAGAGCTTGAAAGGATGACGAGTCTCCAGGGTACTTGCGATTGCCACTGCCAAGAGTGTTCTTCAAACTTCCGATTCCATACGGATTTCCCCTTGCATCCCTCTCAGTGGACTGTGAAAAGAAACAGAAAAGCAGAGATTAGAGAATAACAACTTAAACTGCAAGACTATATGAATGTGTTTTGGGAAAATTCAACATAACCTGAAGAAAGATGGTGGTATACTCCTCTGTTGTGAGCTCCCGAGGTCGTGAAGCGCCATCAGAAACTGCAGAAGTATCTGCCTCTAGCTCATTCAACCTATCAAGCACATTCTGCTCATAAGTTTTTGCAATCTTCTCCGCTTTCTGATCAACATATGTACCATCCGGCCTTGTATGTGTCTTGATGAAAACTTCACCAAGACTTACCGGTCTTCCCAATTCCTCTTCCTGCAATGTAACCAAATAAACAGATATTAACATCTCCAAAACAGATGTCTGAATTCATAGTTGCAAAGTTTAATAACAAGAAGTAACAGAATTAAACTTACCATATCGTCTTGGATTTCTTGAAAAGACTTAGGCCCTGAGAAGTGGATGTGAGGACCGAGACCGTTGCGGTCAGACATACGAGCATTGGAATAGGTCTTACTCTTTTCCTGAGCTTCTTCTGTGTCCCAGTAAGCGCACATTGTTTCCCAGATAGTTTTGCGAATCCACGTAGGTTGAACTCGAGAAGTCCTTACGCCGCTAACCATGTCTTTCATGCGGCGTCCGATGATCTTCTCAAAGTGATATTGCACAGTCCCTGTGATTAATGGATCCCAGGTATGGGTTTTCTACAAAAAAACAGAGATAATGTGAGTGAAAAAAACACAAAAAATTCTATATAGTCATGGATATAAGATATACAGGAACATGATATACAGGAACTTCACCTTCATCGAATCTTGTTAACCTGATCCAAATTAACGAGTTAATATGTTAGAAGTACATGCCAAATATAAACATATATATATATACACATTTACCTTGATTTTGTTTGTATATGTTCTGCAAAGTAGTGCTCTGAAAAATAAGCAATCTCGTCATTGATATATGATTCAACAATTGATCCTGCAGCATATCTTTTGTTCTTTGCTTTTCCTTTCAACTTTTTGAAAAATCTCTCAAAAGGATACATCCACCTATATTGGACCGGGCCGCCTAATTCAGCTTCGTAAGGGAGATGTATAGGCAGGTGCTCCATCACATCGAAAAATGATGGTGGAAAGATCTTTTCCAAGTTGCATAAGATTAAAATAATGTTCTGTTTTAGAATTTGAACACGACTTTTCTGTAAAGTCCTCGAACATAAGTCCCGGAAAAATGCTCCAATCCCTGAAATATAGATTCAAATTACATCATCATTTAAACTTGTTAGATAAAATACTAGAATAATATATTGTTAAGTGTCGCAAATAATAAGTAATTAGTAGTACCTGATAACGCAAGGTGTACGTTCCGGTCAAGGAGTTCTGCAAAGATAAATGGAAGTAGTCGCTCCATAAAAACATGGTAATCATGACTTTTCATGCCTGAAAACTTACCATTCTCCATATCTACACAAGTAGCCAAATCTGAGGAATAACCATCTGGGAATTTAACCGAATGTTTCACACATTCCAATAAACTCGCTTTGGCTTGATCTGTCAATATATATGCTGGGAATGGAGCTTTACCCTTACTATCAATATGTAAGGCTGGCCGAGAACAAAATTTTTCAATATCCAATCTTGACATGATGTTGTCTTTTGATTTACCTTTCACACTCATAAGAGTATTCATGATGTTGTCCAGAAAATTCTTCTCTGTATGCATCACATCAATATTGTGGCGCAGATTGAGATCTTTCCAGTAAGGCAGCTCCCATAATATGCTTTCCTTGTGCCAGTTATGTTCCTTCCCATAGCCTAGCATCTTTTTTGCATGCCCGTTGCCACCAACGTCCTTGGTTTTTGGTGGATTTACGCCATCCAACCGCTCATAATAAACTTGCTCACCGGTCAAAGATTCAGGTGGATACTCTTTAGAAGCGTCTCTTCCTTTAAGGAAGTCTTTTTTATTTTTCCGTAATGGATGACCATGAGGAAGAAATCTTCGGTGACAATCAAACCAACATGTCTTCCTTCCATTAGGTAGATAAAATGACTTTGTACTTTCCATGCAAATTGGACAAGACAGTTTACCGTGGGTGGTCCATCCTGATAACAAGCTATACGCCGGAAAATCGCTTATCGTCCACATCAGCACTGCTTTTAGATTAAAATTTTGATTCAATGACACATCAAATGCATCCACTCCAGTAGACCACAACTCTTTTAGCTCCTCAATAAGAGGTTGGAGGAAGACATCGAGACTACCTCGCGGATGATTTGGCCCAGAATTCAGAATTGTGAGAAACAAGTACTCTGTATTCATGCACATACCTGGGGGTAAATTATATGGAGTCAGGATCACAGGCCACAACGAATGATTACGAGACATCCCAAATGGATTGAACCCATCTGTACATAAGCCAAGATATACGTTTCGGGGTTCTTCCGCAAACTCGGGATTTTGCTCTTGGAAATATCTCCACTCTGCCGCATCTGAAGGATGATTCATTTCTCCTTCCTTTGATTGGTGCTCGGCATGCCATCGCATTGCCGCTGCTGTCTTGTGGCTCTGATACATTCTCTTCAATCGGTCACCAATAGGTAGATACCACATTCGACTATATGGTACTTTGGTTCTACGACGATCGTCCTTAGGCTTCCATCTTTGTGCACCACAAAACCGACATTGATCTTCTTTTTCAGTTTCTTTCCAGAAAAGCATACAATTGTTCATACAAACATCAATTGTATGATATGGAAGACCTAAATTGCGCATCAATTTTTCGGTCTGGTAATGCGAACCGGTTGCCTGGTTTCCTTCTGGTAAAAAATCTGTAAACATTTGGCAAACCGAATCCACTAACTTTTCACTCATATTATACTCCGCCTTATTTTGCATGAGTCGAGCAGCTAACGATAACTGCGATTGACCTTCACGACAACCATCGTATAATGGATTTTGTGCACCTTCTAACAAGTCGTAAAATTTATTTGAATGGTTACGTACTGGTTCTTCGACATTCTGATAACTACCATCCTGATCATAGTTATCATCAAACCCCACGTTATAACGAAATGCATCGTTCACCATATCCACATAAGGATCTTCTACAACATAACCCACCTCTTCATGATTCTCACTTTGATATGTCCTATCAGTGTAATTGGTTCCTATATCCATATTGAGTTCTTCCCCATGTCTATACCAAACATAATAATCTGGCATAAATCCTCGACTAAACAAATGACTACTAACTCTTCTACCCGAGACCATATGTTTTTCATTCTTGCACACACTACAAGGACAGTGAAATTTACCGCGGTTACTCTGTACTATAGGCTGGCTATTAGCAAACGTCATGAATTCCTCCACACCGGCTACGTACTCTGCTGACAAATTTCCCGTCACTTCGTCGAACCGCTTGTACATCCACTCCCGATAACCACCATTACCGCCATAATTGTAATTTCCCGCCATTACCAATAAAATATAATTTTTTGAAAAGTGTTTATTCCAAATTCGTTTTTTTTTTTCGAATTCGTTTTTTTTTTTCTTATGTGAAGGAAGAGAGAGGAGATGAGTGAAGAGAGTGAGTGCTGTTTTCTATATATAGACAATTTTGGGCGACTAATTGGCGACTAAAATCTGTAGTCGCCAAAAAACCGGTACACCTACCACAAACGAAAAAAACGTGTTTCTTAACTGTAAAATACGACAAATTGGCGACCAATTGGCGACTAATTTACGACTCGCCGCATGAGTCGTAACGTAGTCGCCAAAAAAGCGACTAATACATACTGTCGGAAAATAGTCGCTAAATTAGCGACTAATATACGACTAGAATATATATTCTACTTATTAGTCGGTAAATAGTCGCCAAATAGCGACTACATTACTGACAACATGTTTTAGTCGCTAAAGAGCGACTAATTTACGACTACTTTGCTTTAGTCGTTAAATAGTCGTAAAATAGTGACATAATAGTCGGTAAAATTGGCGACTAAATTAATAGTCGGAAGCTGTAGTCGGTAATCGACTGTTTTCTTGTAGTGTAATTTAGTGAATATGGCTTGTAGTTGAATGACCAGTCTCTACCATCGAGAAGAGAATAGAGGAAGATTTATAAATCAGACCTTCAATTTTTGATCATTTTCTATTTCTACCCCTAACTCTTTTTGTTTCTTTTTCACTCTAAAAAACTGAAAAGATAATCCTCCTATTAGAAAAACGTGTAGTAAAACTTTTATGAATTAATAATGTCGAGACCATGATATTTTATTCATTTATAGTGATATTTATTTATGTACTGAATCAATATTTATTTATAATTTAAATTAATATTTATTAATTTATAAATCTATTTTTCAATTGTTTAAATTGGTTTAAAAAAATAAAATAGGAGTTCAGAAAAATCAATATACACAAAATTACTGATTTGGATGTTTTAATTATTATTGTATATTAGAATTGAAAATTTAATTAAATTTTATAATTTAATTTACTTGTAAAAAAGATATACATGATTGAAATTTATTATTATCGTCGGCTACGTCTCTTTCTCCCCAATTTGGATGGATCCTCTCATTCTAATTCATCGCTACTAACTAGAAGAAGTTCCTAAAATTCGAAAGCTCCCCTCTTTTTCTCCATCCATAACCACCAGTTGTAGCAGTCAGTGGCTTCTCTCGGGGCCCTTAGACCATCTCCAATGTAAATCTCTATTTTTTTCTCTAAAATAGAGTAACTTTAAAATAGAGCATGATTTCTCTCCAATGTATCACTCTATATATTACTCTTAAATAGAAGTAGTGTAAAAAAAATAGAGTTACTCTATATATAGAGCAATCATATCATTTACTTTATTTTAGAGTAACATATAGAATGGGGTTGGAGAGAATGTACTCTAAAATAGAGTTTTAGAGGAAAAATATAGTAGGGTTGGAGATGCTCTTACCCTTGCTCTTTTCTTTCTCGGGCGCAGTAAAAAGATATACGAGGTTATAGAGAAATAGACAAAGGAAGTTCAGTAGCAAGAGTGGATCCTATCCCGCCATATTTACCAGCGGGATTCATCCGTCTAAGGCATTCTTCGGAGGAACTCGTCCAAGCACATGATGTCTCCTTTATCTGTTTTCAGCCAGCCTAAGCGGCCCTACTTTACCTACTTGAAATGTCAATTTTCCTTTCATCAAAGCCTTCGTGTTCATCGAATACTTGCTTCACTATGTGTAGCTTGCTCCCCTCTCTTGAAAGCCGAACTGGCGCCTTCTCTTGAAAGCAGGGTTACCGAAGGCAATCTGGCAGGCAAAATTTCCCCTTTTAGTCGGCAGCCACCTTTGATGTAACTAAACTAGATAGAGTTTGGGTCACGAATTCGGATTTACCGATCCGAGGGAACCAAATGAAGCATCTTTTTCTCCTTTCGAAAGAAAAGAGGAAGACTTATTCCCACCAAAGTGCACTAATAGAACATTACTATGGATACGAGCATTACTATAAGAAGAGACTTTGTCATATTTGCTTTTTGGCTTTGGATGTAAGATTGGTGACAAACAAACAAGAGAGATGTTTTATATGGCAATCGGTTAGGGTATTTTAGGCTTAGGGTATATAATTGATAAAACATTTATTCATTAATAGTTTTATGTTAGGCACTTCATAAACCTCTAACATTTAATAGTTTTGTTTAAAGAACGTTTACATTAGAGACTTATAAAATTTATACATCTTGTAACTTTTAACTTATCTTGGATATCGAACATGAGTAGATTTAGGGCAAACTCAAAGATAACATGATGTCATGGAAGTAAAAGTGGAGACGGTTAGTTTCTCTTGGTTTAAGCCTAATGAAGATGGAGAAGTAAAACGTAACAAAGCAATAAGATTGCATGAAACTGATTTTGGTATGGTTTTGGCCATTGAGAGATGGAACATATATAATGTACCACAAAGTTTTGAAAATTCAATTTGTAAATGTTTGAGTGATGTGATGATAACATTATTAAATGCGAAAATGTGAATTTTTGATTTGTGGGTCTAGGGTTAATTAATATCTAATTATCTACTGTGAGTCTGTGATCCATATTTGAAACGTGGTCTGCCAAAGTTAGTTGTGAATCTTACTACTGGATTATTTGCTATAAGTAAGTTTACCAAAAATGAATTTTCCTTGACAGTAGATATTTAGTTTGCATGGAAAGGACTAAAACTACTAAATTGTTTTCGGAGTGTATGATTTATGATAAAATAACAAAAATGGAGTAGCAATATTAGCATGACCAAATAACAAAAATGGAGTAGCAATATTAGCATGGCCAAAAAAAAAAATATTTATGAAGAATTTTTTTTTTGCATGGCCATGATATCCAGAATACTAAAATACATCGAACGTAACGATGAATGAGAAATTGATGAGAGTAAATAACACAAAGGTGTTTATGAAGAATTATAATAGACTCTCATAAGATTAATGTTCCAAAATACATTGATATATATAGAGAGATAAAGACTAAACTTAATTTACTAAATTAAGATAAAGTTAAATATAAATAATACTTTAGAGATAATGTTAAACTTTCTAAACTTAAGATATGATAACTTCTAGATCTTTCTCGCTCTTCATGATTTACATATTCTTGGACGATCATCTTGACCGTCGATCTCCGGTTCTCCCAATACCCCCGACAAGCTCATACGTGGTAACACGTGTGAGATTGGACAAATCTTCAGAATAGAGGCTTTTATACCCGGCCGTCGGGTCATCATCAACGTTTATACACCATCGTAGGATTCAAAGCGGCTACAATACCCAGCCGTTAAGTCATCGACGTTTATACCCGAACGTAGGGTTCAAGTAATAGAAAATAACACCCGTGATTGCATGGTTCAGATGTAGCTCGCGTGATTGCGAGGTTCGGATGTAGCTCACGATGGCGAGACTAAGAAAAAAAAACAACTCACGAGGGCGAGAAGTTCAATCAAAAAGAGATGTCAGACTCGCGAGGGCGAGAAAAACATCGTTGTCAACAAAACTGAACGAACCCACTAGATTCATGTTCATGATCAAGTGTCTTGTTCTTTAAGAAACTAGCAACTTTGCTAGAAAATTAATGTGGGCAATCAATGACCGGATCATCAAACCATCAAACGTAATCCTTTCTTTGAATCACGTCCTTCTTCTTCTTCTTTTTTCTTTTTTCTCTTTTTTCTGTCTTTTTTTTTCTTTGCGGAAGCTAACATAACGGAACCAAAATTCACAGAAAGAATCTTGACTTTGATACCATGATAAATTGATGAGAGTAAAGAACACAAAGGTGTTTATGAAGAATTATAATAGACTCTCATAAGATTATTGTTCCAAAATATATTGATATATATAGAGATAAAGACTAAACCTAATTTACTAAATTAAGATAAAGTTAAACGTAAATAATACTTTAGAGATAATATTAGACTTCCTAAAGTTAAGATATGATAACTTCTAGATCTTTTTCGGTCTTCATGATTTCCATATCTTTGACGATCATCTCGACCGTCGATCTCCGGTTCTCCCAATAATGAATGCATTTACGAGCGCCAAAACATGACTTTCTTGGGACGAGGATTATGGATGAATAAATATACTTGTTGAACACCATAGGTTGTTGCACGAGCAAATTAATTCACATGGTAATGTTATCGACTAATGACAGTAAGTAGTTTGTTAAGTGAATTAATGAAGAGCTGAAAAGCTAAGTCATAGAACATAGAAAATTACATTTGTCTTGTCTGCTAGAAATAATTTTATTGAGTTTTGCAAATTCGAAAATTCATCAACATGTGAAGAAATCTATAAATATAGGTTTTAAAAAGCAAAGAATTAAGGGCATAAGAAAGAAAGTGGTGAAGATGAGAGGGCGTAACACCAAACTTACTATCACCATTCTTACACTTTCTTCTTCTTCTTCGTTGTCTTCTTAGCTCTGTTTCGTCATGTGTTCTCGATCAATACTTTTTCATCTACAGAAACTCTGACAATCTCAAGCAACCGAACCATTGTATCTCCCGGTAACGTCTTCAAGCTTGGTTCATTCAAAACCACAACAAGCTCTCGAAATGGTGGTCGTTGGTATCTTGGGATTTGGTACAAGTCAATCTCTGAGAGAACTTATGTATGGGTTGCTAACAGAGACAATCTGCTTTCGGCTTTCCAAATCCATCGGAACATTAAAAATCTCTTACGCAAACATTGTCCTTCTTGATCATTATGATACTCCTGTTTGGTCAACGAATCTGACGAGAATGGTGAAATCTCCAGTGGTGGCAGAGCTTCTCGATAACGGCAACTTCGTGGTTAGAGACTTCAAAAGCAACGATCATAATCGATTCTTGTGGCAAAGCTTTGATTATCCGGAGATGAAAATTGGTCGGAATCTCGAAACATGACAGGAGAGTTTCCTCAATTCTTGGAGAAGCCCTTATGATCCCTCAAGCGGAGACTTCTCGTTCAAACCCGGAACTCAAGGGCTACCTGAGTTTTATCTTTACATGAAAGAGTTTCTATTGTACCGATCCGGTCCGTGGAATGGAGTCGGGTTTAGTGGCATACCGACGATGCAAAACTGGAGCTACTTTGACGATACATACTTCAACGTCACCGACCATAGCATGCACTACTTGAGATTTACACTGACTTCCGAAGGATTATTACAGATATTCAGATGGGGTACGACATCATCGAAATGGAACTTGTTTGGGGTTTTACCGACCGAGGATTGCGATTTGCACCAAATCTGTAGTCGTGACAGTTATTGTGACATGAAAACATTACCGACGTGTAATTGTATCAAAGGCTTTGTTCCAAAGAACGTGACGGCGTGGGCGTTGGGAGATACGTTCGAGAGATGTGTGAGGAAGTCGCGATTGAGCTGCCACGGAGATGCTTTTTTCTAATGAAGAGGATGAAGCTGCCGGATACAAGGACATCAATTGTGGACAAGAGAATTGGGTTATATGAATGTAAGGAGAAGTGTTCTAAGGATTGTAACTGTACCGGGTTTGCGAATAAGGATATCCGAAATGGTGGGTCGGGTTGTGTGACTTGGACCGGAGAGCTCAGGGATATGAGGAATTATGTCGCCGGAGGTCAAGATCTTTATGTCAGAATAGACCTCTATAATTAGACATGAAAATTTGATATCTTGATATTTTAGAAGATCGGAAATTCATATGATCCGTGATTTATAAATATCCATATTCACTAAAAAAATATTTAAGAATAATAATACTAAGTATTATTTCAGAATCCATCTTGGAAAAGTCCATATATAAATTAAAATTTATATCGGATTATATTGACTATGCATTTTAAATTCTAAACATTTTACCCACCCATGCGAGATCATGTTATATTTGAAAGTTATCATTTTGCATATGCGTTTTTAGTTTATGTTGGATGGATTAATTCGAATGATGAACTAAAACGTAAAATATTGTAAGGTTTTGGCTTTTTGATTACCAAAAATAAAATGGTAGTTGTTTTATAATGGTAATAGTCAAAATACAAAAACTCATAGACACATTAATTTACTGCTCAAAAACATCCGGAGCACCAATCTTGCTCCCAACTCTACGAACACAATCATTCCATGTTTGTTTACTTTTCGGAATACCCTTAGATGCAAAATTCTTAAACTCATACGTGGCGAATATGATTTGAACCAATCCAAGATGGCAATTTTTTCCCATCTTCAATATATCACGACAACATGCATCTGTAATTGGCGTCGTCTCATCCAACATGTTCTTGAAAACCTCATTTCCGCATTCTGTGCTCGGCTTGTCAGCGCAAGCCTCAAGGAAATCGAGCTGTTTGTGTGAGTAATGGTGAGAAATCTCCATGTCATATTCCATTGCGGGTGATATGGCAACATCTTTTGGTACCTCCTGTGAATTTGGATCAATTTCATGGGAGAAAATTGGACGATTCATGTAAAACATTACTATGGACACGATCATTACCATGAGAAGAGACTTTGCCATATTTTCTTTTGGTTTTGGATATAAGAATGCTTTTGGTTTTGAGTGTAATTAAGAAGATTGATGACATGAAACAAGAAAACAAGAGATGTTATAGGGTAATCGGTAAGGGGGTATTTAATTGATAAAACGGTTATTCATTAATAGTTTTATGTTACTACTTTCATAAACCTCAACAGTTTTGTTTAAAAAACGTTTATATTAGAGAAATTTTTTACAAATTCATTTATCTCTGGTTTTCTCGTAATGATGATGTTAATGATCTATCCTTTTTTTTGGGGTTTCTTATTGGTAACCAGTCGAGACTGTCCAATATTCTATCGGAGGGTGAAAGCGCAGAAAGACCTGGTTGTTGCCAAGCAGCAACTAGACCGATGGGCCTTCTAACTTCTAAGTATTGTGAGGAGGAAGTTCTGATTTTCTTATCTATATGCGATGTCACATCATTAACTGTTTCTTCACATTTTTTGAGTAATCTGATAGCTGAGATTTCTATACGTGTTTAGAGTCAGATTGCAAGAGAGCTTACCAAATTGAAGACTCTTATTTTTTTTTTCCTTTTCCATGATTAATTAGATATTTCTAGTAGAATCTTGATGGTATGTATGCATGATGGATCCATTCTCAAGTTTAGTACTTTTAAGCATGATCTCAAGCCTGTCAGTGAGTTTTAACCTATCTGCGTTGTTGGTTCTTGCACATTATTGAAACCGATGTTTAGTGGGATAGTTCCGAGTGTGATGATTCTAGTGCTCAACTTTTTTTTATCTTAACTATGAAGAGGACGGTGCTTTAGTTTTACGTATAAAGTACATGCCAATTTGTGGCCGTCCGAGGACACTACTCTGGCAATCTTGGGCTATAAGTGATGTAAAGTTTCTTATGTGAAAATTCATACTTATACAAAGGCCACAAATTTTTCGTGGCCAACCCGTAGCCTGATCTATCGCAAAACCATGGATTACTAAAATAATATATGTGGCCTAAGCAATCCTTATTCGTGAATCATGGCTAATACTAGCAACCTATAGCCAAATGAATTTTAGCTAAGATTTTAGCCATGGCCATTTCGTGACACCAAAACAAAATATCTGCCACTATATTGTTGCCCATAGCCACGGTCTAGGCAGGACTTTGTTAGCTAAATTAGCCATACTTTGGTGTGGTTAATTTTACGGCTGTATAAAATTTGTGGTCAAATTCATGGTTACAATAGAAAATTTTGTAATATAAACCCTACTTAAGTTTTCTTTTAAGGATTTGAATTACGATTTTTATTTTTTGAAAAAAAAAGAGTGAAGCATCAAATGTTGTAGTTTTTTCTGAAAAAACACTATTATACGAAAGCTATCGACCATTAGTGAAATGGACAAACACTGAGTAACAATATGAATTACATGAAAGTGTATAACAACACAAATTACACAATCATACTCTAGTTGTTTCGCTTTGGCTTGCTATTTCCTTTTTCTTGGTAGACTTATACAAGGAATATACATAAGATGCAAAACCAAGAATCCCAGCTACCAGAGCTCCTTCCTTAAAAAATTTCACGTCGGCATCCATAAACCGAAACGCCAACACAAGGAGAATGTTCGCTAAAGGTGTTGCGCAGAAGCTGACAACATTAGAGAAAAGAGAAGAAGCCAAACACACAAGCCCCACAAGCCCTAAAGACATTACTTGCCACGCAAGTGATAATCCAATTAGACTCCAAACATAAAGTTGCTTCCCCTTCTTAAACGTCTCCAAATCTTCCTTGATATCTTTGAATTCACCACTTACGAATAATCCAACCAAACATATCAATGTTGCAATCATAGAAGCATTGGTTTGCATCAGCATTACCGCGGAATCTCTACTCTCTGTAGTTGGTGGTATGACCTTTTGGAATCCTAATTGCATGATACATAAAGATAGAGAGAATGCTACCGTGCCGAAGAAGGCACACCAAGCGCCGTTACTCATTCTTGAGCCTTCATTATTTTCACAGGGAATATAGGCGCCATCTGAAGATGTAATGCCTAAGCCTGTGGCAGCTCCAGAAAGAACCATGGATAATATGATCCAACGGTTGAATTTTTTTTTGTTGATGATTGTTGTAAATATGGATGTGAAAATCAATTGGGAAGTAAAGATCCAAAAGAAAAACAGAGAATGAGTTCTCCCAATAGCATAGAGTTGGCTATAAGCCGCAAAGAGGACGCCGAGAGAGATGTAAAGAAGAAAGAGTTTGCCAAAAGACGAAGAACAAGAAGGAGTAGAAGTTTCTCTCTGGGTGGAGAATGAAGAACGCCATAAGAGAAGAAGGAAGGCCGTAGAAGGAAACGCAGCGTTTTGGACTAAAGACTGGAGCCATGTTCCTCTAAATCGTTTTGGGTCATCACAAACATTTCTTCTTATTTGGATGAAGTAGAAGTTTAGAAGAAGTGTGGAAAGAACACGTCCTGCTGCGACCAAACCTGAGCAAACAAATATACAAATCCACCAGTTTCGTGTCTTAAGAATTTGTGACCTATCAAGAGCTCTTGATGTCGTTGCTCTTGGTTGATTCTCAACTCCAATATTTGCTTCTTCTTCTTATAAACCAACCCAAAAAAAAAAAATTATAACATATATAGTTTTTATGAATTAAGTCATTATAGTTGACACATGAATGCACATACCTTGTGTTATTCGGTCCGGAGATTTGGTATGGAAACCCATGAAGTTTCTTGTGAAGAATTAACTATAAACTTTAGATGAAATAGTACCTTGTTTTCATGAAGTTATACCTGAAAGTCTAAATAGAATTTTCTCAGACTAGAGATAGGAAAGAATATTGCAACAACTAACATAAACTAATACCATGACTTTGGATCATATATATGTATAGGATAAGTCATATTGATGTTCAGCAATAGTAAAAAATCTATAGTCAACTATACCAGCCAATATAATGATGAGTGATTACCCAACTGGACGAGCACTTCAACGCAACGAACATGATCTATTGAATGATTAAAAGATATATACGAAGCATTAGTAGTTGAAACTTTTATGGGAAGACAAAACACAAATAAGAAAGGAATAAAACAAATAATTCTTAAATCATGGAGACTTTCTAACTTCATCAAGTTGTTTGTTAACACTCTTTTGAATATACGTACAAGTTTCCAGGACCAAGCTTTGTCGTCTGATTATGTATCAATTTATATCTTATTTGAACTTCTAATTATTACATGTATTGCCGTACGAATGATTAATGATATGAGTTATATCTCATTTTTGTTTGCATTTAGCATCATATGTGTTATTTTCTGCTTTTTCTACATATTTAATTGATCAACATTTTTATTTGCCAATTTGACTTTTCAATCCTTCTTTTAACAAGGTTTGGAAACGTGCTTACGTCCTTAAAACTATGTTTAAAAATACTTTTTGGAGGACCAAAATTTACAGAAATTCTCATAATTGGACTTACAAAAGTAGAGTTACTTTATTGTAGCACCCAAACATTAGTTCTGTTTTGCATATTAAATCTCAAATAAGAGTTAGTCCATATAGACTTACTCATGTATTATTAATAACCATCAGTAAGCAAATGATGTGAAATCTCCTCGTTAAACATCAATAATATTAATAACACTTCAAGTCTACAACCACATTGAACAATACAAAACTACATGAACAATACAAGTCCACATTGAACAATACAAGAACAACACTCATGACTCAACCTATCACTTTACTCAAACGAAACATGATCATAAAACATAGAACAACAACACATCATTTTCTTCATCCACGATTTGGCTTCCATCACTACATCTTCTACCCTCTCAAATATCTCTTTCTCGAGCTTCATTTTCATCTTCTCAAAAACCATCTTCTGCTGCTCTGTTCTCTCTATAGCTTCCAATGGAATATGGGTCGAGAAGTAGCTTCCATCGAGTTTAATTCGGTTTATGGTTTGGGTTTCTTGGTTTCTTATCAGGTTAATGACTTCAACCGAGTAAACCAACCGCTATGTGGAAATAGGTTTCGAAGTTTTGATCTGGGAAATAGATGTAAAACTTTGTTTTTGGGGGTTAAATAGACAAGACTACAAGAGGGTCAAACTTTGGATGGAACTGGTGCTATGTGAATGTTTCGGAGGGGGAAATAGATCGTTGACCCATATTTTTTTGGTAATGGACAATACAAGGTGAGTGAACATATAACCATAGTTTTAAGATGGAAATGACGGCAAGAACATGTGTCTGTAAGAGGTGGAGTATGAAAAGGATTCCTTGTTTCCATGCATTGCATGTCATATTGATGAATAAGCTTAAGCCTGAGGATTAGTCTCCTATTGGTATTTGACATCAACATGGGTTAATCAATACATAGCGGATCTTGGCAGTTATGTTAATTTGTTGCTAGGTTTTTTAAGTTGTAGGTGTTTTATGTAAGCCTTGTATTTGGTCTCTTATTTACTACTCTTATACATATGTCATTTCCGACCATTTTTATGTATTCAATTGAAATCCTTCAAACTCAACCTCTTAATACTTAGGTAACTTGATAAACATAGCCCAAAGTTAAACTCAAACTCTTAACTCTTAACTCATTAGTTAATTTTTGCACACAAAAAAAAAAAAAACTATTTAGTTAAATTGATGATACACATTACAAGCTTATAGTTAAAGTCATGAATATTTTCATAAACCAAATCACAAACTCTTATGCAAAGATGAAAAAATAGGCCATGAACAAGACTAAACCAAACACAATGAGATCTTTGCAGCAATGTAGCTCTTTTATCTCTTTATCACAACCATTGATCACGGCTTCGAGATCTCTAATCTTCATATCACATACTCTTAGGTTTGTTTTGAGAGCTTGTATTTCGTTTCCATAGCTATTGGCTAATGCCTCAGAAGTGTGTGTTTTACATGGTAAAGTCTCCATCTCATGTTCGACATCATGTAAATCTTTCTCTACATTTCCCTTGAGCTTTCTAATCTTCATATTAATTACTCTTAGGTGTGCTTGAATTTTGTTTGCATAGCTAGCTAATTCCTCACAAGTGTCTATTTTACATGGTAAAGTCTTCATCTCATGTTCGACATCATGTAAATCTTTCTCTACATTTCCCTTATATAGTTGTATCTTCTTCCTGTCAATCATTTCAAAAACAATTTAATGAAAATTCAAGAGAAACGGATAAATGATTTGATATATCTACGATCATATGGGTAAACTGACTAATTTATAATTGAACAATCTTTTAATAATTTTTATAAAATCCCTAAAGACATACAACAATAGTTTAATTCTTTTAAATTATTTCTTCAAAGTTGGAATATTTTGAAGTATAGAATAGACCTAGCAAGAGAGTGGGTAGGCTTATAGGTGGGAGAAATATCCTTGATCATATTTGGAACGTACAAATAATCTAATTCTGCTATCTTCTTTAAAATCTCTTTTTTACGTTTTGAGTTTATGATGTCTCTCTCTTTCCGGTACTCTATTCTTTTTCAATTCTATTTTCTTCCTCAACATTTCTTCTTCATTTTTACTGCTAGCCACACATTTATATAAAAAGGATTTGGAGCAAGTTTAGGTGGGGTCATTAAGGAAATGATTATTATATTATTTAAAAGATATTATCATATTTAATACTTTTAGATTTGGTTTCATAGAATAATTGATGCTGTTAGTATCTCACATTACAACAAATAATGTGTTCATTTTGACTTTCTATCTAATATTAATTGGATCCAAATACACGTACACAAGATTACATAACCATACATTACATGTCACACTATGATTAACTCTAACTAAACTTTAACTGTAAATACATTTTCATAAATAATGATCCGATTGCCTTCAATTTTTAATAGTTAACTAAAAACTCTTAAAATAGTACTAAATCTAAAGAAGTTAGAAGAACAATCCTATTTTTTAAAGGATGGATATATCTTATATATATATATATATATAGTAAGGTAATGAAGGATGGAATCATTGCAAAATTGTATTTGAATAACTTTAAAAAAGATCATATGTACAAACCAAAGACTATGCAAGAAGAGGAGCATTAAAACTTGGTTGTCTAAAACGACCAATGCAGGAGAGGCAACGAAAATTCGGGTAATTCATATACTTTTGAATATTTTCATAAAGCTTGGGTAGATTTCTAATCGGGATTTTTGGATAATTTAAATATTTTTTATGTATTTTCAGATATTTTTGGGTAGTTTGAGTTTTTTTTCTTATTTAGTTTTTCGGATAATTTGGTTACCTATGAGTATATTTGAATTCTGTTGTGTAGTTTTAATTTCAGATAGTTTCGGATTCGAACAAAACCCATAAAGAAACGAATCTGAAGGTAAAATCTGATCCAAACTGAATCCGAAGTAAACCAAACTGAACCAACCTATATATCTTATATAATATGACAAGGTTTCTTCTAAACAAGCTCTAAGAATGTGACATTTGGCGTTCTACACTTTTGACACATGTCATTTTCAGTTTATTTTTTAATTTGAGTGCAATAAATCTGTTTATTTAATTTTTGAGAACAATAACCACAATAGTCCTTAAATAAAATTATAAAATAAAATCAAAATTATTTGATGATAAAATAATTTAAGGATATTTTTTGAATAAAGACATATTTTCCTACATTTTATTTTTTTCACATAATTTATAGTAAAAAATAAAGATCAAATTATTAGGCGATAAAATAGTTTAAGTATATGCGATAATATGTAATATTTTTAATTTAATTTCTTACATATAGGCATATAGCATATTGCCCTATGGTTATTTTATGTTGTATATCTTACTAATCTCATGAGAACTGAATTTTTTATAAAAAGATAATGAATATATTAATAAAATTGACTTTATCTATATCTTATTAAACCACAAATATAATACATTTAATTCTTTAATTATATACATTAATCCACCTTTTAATACTAAATTGTAACCTAAATCATATAAATTGTGTATTAACTTTTTTTTCTCTATTCAATGGCTTTCAAACACACTATTAACTATTATTGTAACTCCCATAATTTAATTTTTTAAAAATGAATGTATTACTATTTTCTCATGGTGGAGGTTACATTTAAATATTAATTTACTACAATTTATTTCATCGTTATAAGAATAGCACAATACGACATACCAATCTCAAATCTTAACATGAGAGACCCAACATCCATCAAAAACCAAAATACATGAGGTTTTGAGCGTAAATTTGTTTTTTTTTAAGTGCTATCTCTTCCTTTAATTTGATGCTTTAAATTTAATTTTATTGGTTTCTAATCCTTTTTCCTTCATATGTTATTTTCTTTTGTTTTTATGTCATTTTTCTAATTATATTTCAGTTCATAATGTCATATGTTATTACGTTTATAATGGTAAGATATGTTGTGTATATTTGAATTCTATTATTTTTTATCAGAAAATAAAGAAAATATTTCCTAATATATATATATATATATATATATATATATATGTTTTGTGTATGTAGACTATATTGTTAAAAATATTTCTATATGGTGATGAATTTTGTTTAGCTAACAATTCTAAATAGGTGACAAGTTTTCAAAATCACTAAATACAATTTCAAATCTCATATAAAATTAGTTTTAAAAGTTATTCTACAGATATATAAAAGTTGCTCTTTTTTTTGCCAACATGAGCCATATTTTTTCTTCTTCCTTTAAAATAAATTATTATGAAACAAGAATATTAATTTTCTGATTAATGCGGTATAAATTGAAAAAAAAAGTTAACAATCTTCAACTTAGCAATTTATAATAATTACTCTGACATCTTATATATATTTTTTTTCCTTTTCAATGTCGTTTTAAAATCTAGAATTAACATATATAAGATATTCTAATTTTTTTTTCTTCAGATATTCTAATATTTGTTTTAAGCGATATGTGCCATATTTTTCTTATTTTGTTTTTCTTTTCACTTTCAAATAAATAATGAACATCCTTACATCCTTTTATTAATAAATGATTTTTTTATTAATGGAGCATTAATTGTATAAATTACCTCCTAAGACCATCTCCAATGTAAATCTCTATATTTTACTCTAAAATAGAGCATGCTTTCTCTCCAATGTATTACTCTATACCCTACTCTAAAATAGAGGTATTGTAAAAAAAATAGAGTTCCTCTATATATAGAATAATCTTCTCTTTTACTCTATTTTAGAGTGAGATATAGAGTAGGGTTGGAGAGAATTGTGCTTTATAATAGAGTTTAGAGAAAAAAAAATAGAGTGGAGTTGGAGATGCTCTAATGATGTTTAAGTCGCCTACATTTTAAATAGCTATTTCGACATTTTATATATTTTAAATTTAATATACCTAAATTTCCATTATTTTAAAGTAAACAGGTAACATAAGGGAAAAAGATAATATTGAATAAGCTCTTATAAATTCGATTTTACAACACTTATGAATACTACCGTTTATAATTATGACTACATATGCTTATAATTTCCTTTCTAATTTAAAAGACTAATAGCTATGTGAACTAACTATTACATAAACAATTAATAAATCATATTATCAAAATGGATGAAGAGATATAAATGATAATTTAACATAACATCCATGTTATAAATATTCCATGTTTTTATTTCTTTTAACGTCTATTTTTATTATTTAATATTTTATACTACTTGAAAATTTTTGTAAAATATTGATTAAATATTTTTAATAATATCTTACATCATTAGATTTCTATTAAAGTTTACAATTAATGTGTTGTCTTTACATTTTCTTAGCTTTACAACGGTAGTCCAACATTATTTTGTAGTACTTTAATTCAAAATTTCGTTACCCTCTGTAGATACACATATATAAGTTGCAAAACATTTCACTACATTAATTTACAATTTATTAAAAATTTGGCAAAAATGTGAAACTCAAGTGATAATAAATAATTTTATTAAATTTATTTAGTTACTATGATTTAAGAGTACTATTTTGTTTTCTATAATTGTGGTATAAATTCTATTTGTGATGGTAATATTGTAATAATCAACAAGTATTTGACTTTTAAGATAACAAAATGTTATCTCAACTCTCCAATTTTTTTCACTTCTTGTCCACCGTCCTCATTTTTGTTTTGACACAAAGCCCTCTCATTATTTTTCCAATATCCCTGGAAATGTTAATTCACAAGCCTTCCAAATATATTGATAATGTTTTGTCAAATCATATGATTCATTGAAACATGTAAATTACAACTTTTTAAGTCATTGTAGAGAAGAAATAAATTGGAATATTTTTTTGCTAATACTTTTAAAGAATAATACTTTATAATTAATACAGGTTCTAATATGTTTTTAGATTAAACTAATTTAGTTTTCTTACGATAAAATATATTCAACCTATTCCCACGCATCGCGTGGGTCTTTTTCTAGTATAAAATATTCGAATAGTTTTTAAAAGCCTAAACCCGAAAATCATTAAAAAAAAAAAAAACCAAACGAGTATTCATTAGATTACATCATTAATCTTTCGATAGTCGTTGTACAACATGGCCAATATTCTAATGGAAGGTGAAAGCGCAGAAATATCTGGTTGTGGCCAAGCAGCAACTAGACCGATGGGCCTTCTAAGTATTGTGAGGAGGAAGTTCTGATTTTTTATCTATATGTGATGTCACATCATTAACTGTTTCTTAACATAATCATCATGATATAATATAAAGTTGATAAAAACCGAAAAATATTTTCTACATATGTTGTGATTTAAATTTTTTAAAACGTACATATATTACTCAATTAATAAAAAAAAAAGTGTGTGTTTCTATACTATGTCTAGACAATGAGTTAGAGTCGTTTTATAAATAAGAAAAATTGAATCCAAATCCTAGTCGTACGATGCATGTGAATCATCCCCTTATTATTAAAAGGGAAGTACAAATTGAAAAATGGTCTAATTTGGCCTCAATTTCAATTTCAATTTTGGATTTTGTACATTGTTAATCAAAATTGTCAAGGGTAAATTAGGGATTATGTTTTTCATTAATCCAAGGTCCGCGCGTTTACAAATGGATCTTAAATGGATCCAAAATTACTTAAACGAAAACCGAATAACAAATCGGTTTTGATCTTGAGCCGAAGACATATATTTGTCATTTGACCTAATCTATCGCCTCCTCCTCTCGATTGTCATCTCCCCATATCTCCTTTCCATAAGTTTTTTTCTCCTGCTTCCTCTCTTGAGAATCTCTTTCTTCGTGTTGGGGCGAGTTTGTGGCGGTGGTTGCGTAATCCACCGGATGTGGATAACACGAGAATCGATTTCAGGGTTCTTCTCTGATCATCATCACAATTTTAAGATGATAAACTCCGGCTCAAAAAATTGAGGTTATAATGAAGAATCAAAAGTTGTTTCAGAAGAGAGCACGAGATGACAATTCCGATGACGATGAAGAAAAACATGAATGGAAGAAATCAGAGGAGGTACTAGATTCATATTGTAGTAGTACCTAGATTCATATTGATTTTTATTTGTAAAATGATAAGGCTCTCTACTCCAACGAGATAGCGCAGATGAGAGTTTTGGAGAAGACGATGTTCAACATAATCATCATGGGATGAGCTTTCTTCTTGGTTTGTAGATTAGAAGGTCATCTAAAAGTTTTTTCTCATAGTCTATTGTTTGTAAGTTTTTTTTGTTCTGTCTGATTATCCATATAGGATTTATTTCTTATAAACTTTGTGTTTTAGCTTCATTGTTTAGAGTTACGAATTAGATGGATGAAGGTGATATAACTAATATTTGACTTTTTGTTTTTGTTGTTGTTGGTGTGGTTCTTCTTTTGTGCAAGTAGCTTTAGTTCTTATTACGAGTCAGCTTTTATTGGTTATGTGCTTTGAAGAAGTTTGATCCTTTGTCAGAGTTAGACAATTATTATTTTTGAATTTGGATTATCGTGTTTTCCTTTTCATTGATTGTGTGTTTTTTTTGTGCTTCCTTATCGCTTCATTGTCAATCAATGGTAGAAGAGTTTCCTCATTTAACTTTACTTTGTGATTGTTATGACTGTAGGAGTTTCCTCCAGCTGCTGGAAGGTACATGTCATGTGGGTATTTTTCCTCGACTCGCTAAAGCTTCTTCTCATTCTATCTTGATCATTGTTTCTAATCATGTCGATGTTTTGACTTACTTTGCTTGGAAAGTCGATGGGTTTTCCGGTAAATCGAATTCTTGGATTTGGTACTAATCTCAAATCCTCTCGGTTCCGATTCTTAATTGCAGATCATCTTGATGTTAATGCTCTAGATGTACAGGTCAGTTCCAACCAAAATTAGGGATTTGTGTAATAAAGCTGTGCTTTTTTTTTTGTTAAAGATTGCGATTAAGGAGTGATTAGCTTACTTTTATATGGTTTAGTTTGATAAAAATCTATGCTTTAGTGGTTTAATACTGCAGCTAAAGAAGTGTAGAAGAGTTTCACAGAGACTTTCATCTCAAATACTGATGGTTCTTTGTCTTATTCGTTTGCAGGTTATCTTTTCTTTAGAGCTAATAAAGAAGACATAGATTCTGTAAACGAAAAGACAGCTGCTAAATATGGTTCAGTTGCAGCTCCTATTATTGTGGAAAAGACTACGTCTTCCACAATGGTTGCAGAGCCAGTGTGGTCAAGGCATGTGAGCCAATTCTGGAGAAACAACAACGTGAGCTCTTCAAATAGATGTTGGATGAAAAAAGAAAAGTAAATTCGAATAACGCAGAAGAGAAGAAATGGATTGACGAAGAGAAAGTGATTATGGGCAAGGTTAGTCAAATTTCAGCAAAGTATGAGTTCAAGTATATGAACATTTGAGTCCCCCTTCTCCACATAAGTATAGGCTCAAGTATATGAACACGTTTTATGTGTTCAGTTTTGTTCCAAACTTATTTTTTATGAGTTTGAATTCATTTCGTTACTTATGTTCTTGAACCAATCTATATCACATCATCCTCTTATTGTTTTATTATATGTAGTTATGTTTTTAGGTTTTGGTTGTCTAAGTTGCAAGTTTTGATTAATTAATTTGCAGATTTTTATTGTCTAAGTTGCATGTTTGGTTTGTCTAAGCTATAGATTAAAAGTTTTGGTGAATTAATTTGCAGAATTTGGTTGTTAAGTTACAAGTTTTGGTTTTTAAGTTGAAGGTTTGGTTTGAGAAATTGCAGGTTTTGGTGAATGAGTTTGCAGATTTTGGTTTGAAAAATTGCAGCTTTTGATTTTTTGAGTTATAGATTGCAGGTATTGGTTTGAGAAATTGCAGGTTTCTGCAAGGTTTGGTTTAAGAATATGAAGCACCATTAAATTAAAAATAATGAAGATGGATGTTGAGTTGTAGGTTTCATGAGTTGCAGTTTTTTCTTATCAATGTTTGAGACTTTGAGTAGTTGCAGGTTTTCAATTTGAGACTTTGAATTCAGGTATCAATGTTCCAGTCTGTTTTCTGCAATGTAAGCCATATCTTAACTAAGTTTAAAAATCTTGAGGTAGTTCTTTGTGAGGCAGAGTAAGTATTTCGACTCAGATATATTATCAGATGCAAAGATGGCTCCAAATCTTTCCCTAGAGGCCGTACCATGATTTTATTACACCATTGGTTGTTTATTAACAAAATCAATGCTATTATTTACGCTATTACAACAATTACAATATCAAACATTTCAGCTTTTATTTTTAACATTTGTTCAATACTTTTACTATAGACTCATAATTTAACACAAGTAGAACACATGTAAGTTTTAACACTTTTATCATACCAACTTAAAATGGCTACTACTTTAATCAACCACAAAAACTTATACAATGTGTGTCAAAATAATCACTTATACATTTTTTAAATATATAAAACGAAAACCGAAATAAAAACCAACACCCGCGGAGTACCGCGGGTTGAATCCTAGTTTATTACAAATTTGCTAGCATATTTAATGGAAAAATTAAATATAGTAGAAGAATATCAAAAGATATATCTAGACTCTAGTTATATATATATGGACTCTACAAATTTATGGAAGCCAAATTTCTTACAACATTTCTCAAAATTAAAGAACCTACACTTATATATGACTTATGCATATATATTTTACAACTATGAGAATACATATATGTATAGCTTCACAACGAGTAATGCAAGTTACAACTTACAAATAAACCAAACGTCATGGCACCCTTGAAGAATCATCGGGATCTTGATCGGCATTACTTTCGTGCTTTTTGCTAGTAAACGGGAAACCAAACAGTAGTTGAATTACTGATCTGACCCTGTTCGCACGTCGGCGTTGGCGTATGCGCCGTAGAATCACTTCCCGGTCTAGTGTTTGTGTGGTATGAATACGTTTGATGCAAATATGAGTGGACACAAAATCTGGAGTTTCAGTGTCTTCACGAATCTTGATCTTGTTCTTGGCTTTGTCGTTCGGTTTGGCTAGTGAAGAAGCCATGAAATGGAAAATGACAATTCAGGGTGTTGCCATAATATTTGTGTCGGTATGGTGTGGGTGAAGACAAATGATCCAAATCTTGGGGTTTATTTATACATAAATAGTATATTGTTAAGGCTAAAAAATACTCATTTGTAGAACAGTTATTAAATATGTCGATATAGAGAAAATCAATGATTCAACATGATATTTTAGCAAAAAAAAAAAAAATGATTCAACATGATAATTGGCTGGGTTAAAAGCTAGGATATATATTTTCCATATTTATGGAATCAAAGAGTATTCTTTCCATTTTAATATAATTTTTGGTTTGACATTTTTACGTGAATTATAAAATGTTGAATATTTAACTATAAGCATAATAACTTTTGAGATTATATTCTATTACTTTTGGCTAGAAAATTTTTTTTAGCTGTGTATATATAAAATATTTCATTGGAATTTAAAACATTTTCTTATAAAATATTATCCTAAACGAATTTTTTTGGTGAAACAGAACAAAAAGCAATATTGAAATTGACATAAAGCTATTAGTATATCTAGACAAGATATAAAGCGAATACATAAGCTTCCAAGAGATAACATCAAGATTTTAGATATCCATCAAAAGGCTTTAAAAAACTCTCTCTGGCCCGACTCCCAATGTCTTCCAAAAGAAGTTAAGGGTTTTCAAAAGAAGAGATCTCACCTACTTTTATTAGCCATATAAGGCAATTTTTCTTCGAAACCCCTTCTAATTATGGCAAGGCTTGGCCGGGAAAGTTGCAGAGGCGGCCAGTCGTCTTCTCCCCGGTGATACAGGGCACTACTGTATCCCTCAGCTCTTCTCTCTTCTTGGAGATCTGTACTCCTAGTTGGAGATTTACTCCCCCTTGGAGATTCTTGTTACCACTCTGTGTGGTTCTGCTTCTTTCAGCTCAGGTGAAGCTTTCGTGCTCTGTCTTTAGAGTCTCTGTACACCTTGCTTGTAGTGGTCCTTGGTTTACTAGTTGAGCGGTCTCCCTTCTCAGTTTTGTCTCTGTTAAGGCCCACCCACTAGTATCAGAAGAGACCCATAAGTAACCAAACAACTTCAACATCTCCAACGTTTCCAACATCTGCAATGACTACAAGATACTCAAGGCAGGAAAAAGGCAAGTGGGTAGATAGCCCAAGCAGACCAAGCCAACGACCAAGTCACCGCCCCCCAGTCCGCTTACCTGAATGTGAAAATGACGACCTCATCGCAAAAAACAAACTCACCCTGGTTGGTAGGGTTACAAATCCTAGGATTCAACATCCAAAGGCGCTGGTGAACTACATGTTGCAGTTCTGGAATCTGGAAGGACGAGTATCGGGTCGAGATCTGGGACCAGAAAAGTTCCAGTTCACTTTCTCGTCTGAAGAGGATCTTCAACTTGTGCTAAGCTGGTCCCCCTTCCATTTCAAACATTGGATGTTCATTCTCCAAAGGTGGGAGCCTATTATCTCGGAATCATTCCCGGCAAAGATGCTTTTCTGGCTTCAACTACAGGGGGTTCCCCAACACTACTGGACAGCGAATGCGCTAAGAACCATCGGAGAGGATGTGGGCTCTGTAGAGCTTGTGGACACCGAGCAGATTCGGGTTAGGGTAAACATAAATGCTCTACAGCCCCTTGAACAACAGATCCCAATATTGTTGCCTACAGGAGAGACGACTATGGTGGATCTTGTGTATGAAAAGCTTGAGAAACACTGTTTCCTATGCTTCTCCCTGCTGCACGAGAAGAAGGATTGCCCAAGCCGGGTTGCCAACACAAGAAGAGGCTCTCCAGAGGCGGAGAACAACAAAAGTACTTATCGCCATAGGTCGGAGGACGATAAGAGGAACCCTTCCTCAAAAAGAACTCTGCCAACAGAGTACAGGGGAAATCGTGATAAGCCTCAGGACAGATGGGACCGTCGCTCCCAGTCTAGATATGAACATCGGTCTCAGGCCAGACAGACCTCCATAAGGTCACCTCATCACCCAAGAAGGAAGGAGCTCCCTAGAGCAAGTATTGCGAGTAGACTGAGAGAGCCTCCCTCTGTTTTTGAAAACAGAGGACCTAGGAGGTCATCTCCAAATAACTCTTCCAGGCGGTATCCACAAGCCCCTCGTAGGGAGCCCTATTCTGCGAGAAAATCTTGTAATACTGAGTGGAGAGAGAGAAGATCCCCCTTGGGATCCAGGAGTTTCCAGGCTACAAATGGTAGCCCCAGAGCGTCGCGCAACAGTGATCAGAGAATTGTCGCATCTCAAAGTGAAAGATCACCAGTTACTCCACCGCCAGCTCCTGAGTCTCTACCACCTCCCCCACCGGCCTCTCTTAACAACAGAGCCGCTCATTCTTCACCAAAGTCCCGGAGACCTGCTTTGGAGAGGATTTCTTTGAGCGACCAGCCTGATATTTCTAACCACTTCCCTGTAGGTCATCTTGGTGAGTCCTCCTCGCCTTTTGGACGCCTCCAAGAAGTGAATATCCAGTATCTAGGTGAAGAGGACCAGAATCTATTAGGCCTCAACAGAACATCTACTCTGGTGGGTGCAAGCTCAAACCCAATCCATCCAACCTTGAGTCACAGACTCTCGCTGGGAGAAGGAGTTTCTCTAGAAGCTAGCAGGCGGTCTGCTTTACAAAGAGTGGAAGAGGCGCAACCTACTATCACGGTCTCCATCCAAGCTAATCCTCCAAAGAAAAAACCAGCAGCTAAGAAAAAGATAGCTGCTCCAGGATTACCCAGAGGAGCTAGAAGCCCTCTTCAGGGAGCTAGCACTAGAAAGAGGAATACCGTTAGGCCAAAGGCTACTGCTGCAGCTAGGAAGCGGTTATGTGCGGAACAACTACCTTATAATAAGGACCCTGTCACTGACTCTCAGTGCTCTACACCGGCTTTGGTGGTGCTCCCAGCCTCTAAAAAGGCAAAGACTAAGGTGGATTTTCAACCTCCACCAAGTCCTCTTCCTTAGTGGTTGTTAGTTGGAACTGTCAAGGGCTTGGAAGCACCCTTACAGTTCCACGCATGCGAGAGATCCGTTCTGATTTCTCTCCTAATGTTTTGTTTCTCTCGGAAACCAAAAATCAAGATGATGAGGTTTTCCGGGTTTTTCAGTCTTTTGGCTTTAAGAATCGCTTTACAGTGCCTCCTCAAGGACTTAGTGGAGGGCTTGCACTTTTCTGGACAGAGGATGTAATCTTGGAGATTGTTAGCTCCTCTCAAAACTTTATTGATGTTAAAGTCTCCTTCCAACAAGTTGTTTCTTTCATAACCTTTGTTTATGGCGCCCCTCAAGTGGAGAATAGGCAGGCGGTGTGGGATGAGATTTCCCTCTTTGGATCATCAAGAGAAGAGGCCTGGCTTTTAACTGGCGACTTTAATGACTCCCTAAATAACTTCGAAAAAGTTGGAGGCCCTGCTCGATGTGAAGGATCTTTCATTCCTTTTCGAAGTTTTGTGTCACAGAATGGCTTGTGGGATCTACAACATTCCGGAAACATGCTCTCCTGGCGTGGGCAAAGACACACTCATTTCATTCACGCAAGGCTGGACCGATCCCTGAGCAATGTCTCTTGGTCAGAAGCCTATCCCTCGGGACGGTGTCGCTACCTTAGATTTGAAGGATCAGATCATCGCCCTTTGATCACGTACTTTGACCCTACAAAAGTTAAATCAAAAGGTGTCTTCAGGTTTGATAGAAGGCTTCGTGAAAAAGCTGAGATTCACTCCCTGATACAGGAGTCTTGGAGTTCTGCAGACCAAGAGAACCTTTTCTCAAAATTTGGGAGATGCAGGCGAAACATTATCAAATGGTCTAAGGAGCAGAATTTGGTAAAAATGCAGGAGGTTAAAAAGAAACAAGAAGAGCTGGAAACAGAGCTTTCAGCCCTAATCCCAAACAATGGGCTTATAGATTCTATTACAGCCCAACTTGCTATCTTCTACAAAGAGGAAGAGGCCTTTTGGAGGCAACGAAGCAGAGTCCTTTGGTTGCAAGCTGGGGATCAGAATTCTAAGTTTTTTCATGCTGTGACTAGAGGACGTACAGCCATGAATCGTCTCTCTGTCCTAGAAGATGAACAAGGCTCTGAGATTTTTGAAGAAAAGAAAATAGCTGAAACAGTGGCAGGGTTTTACTCTAAACTCTTCTCAGCTGCCTCTAGTTCGCAGCTCCAAGTGGTGGAGGAGGCTATCCAACCCAAGATCACATCAAACATGAACGATAAGCTCATCCGCTCCCCATCTGATAAGGAGATTCATGATGCTGTCTTGGACATCAACGCGGATAAAGCCCCGGGAGCAGACGGATTTTCCGCAGGCTTCTATCATTCTTATTGGGATGTGATTGGTGGGGATGTGATTCAGGAGATTAGAGACTTCTTTCGTAGTGGTTTGCTTCATCCGCGTCATAATGAAACCCACATAAGACTGATCCCAAAGATTTCAGCACCAAAAAAAGTCGCAGACTATAGACCGATTGCTTTGTGTAGTGTTCACTACAAAATCATAGCAAAGATCCTATCAAAGAGACTTCAGCCCCTGCTCCCTAATCTTATCTCTCACCACCAATCTGCTTTTGTTCCCGGGAGAGCCATAAGTGATAATGTCTTGATCACTCATGAAGTCTTGCACTTCCTCCGCATCTCGGGAGCTAAAGTCCATTGTGCAATGGCGGTTAAGACGGACATGAGCAAAGCGTATGACCGAATCGAATGGTCTTTCCTCAAAGCGGTTTTAATGAGGTTTGGTTTCCATGATTTGTGGATTAATTGGGTACTTAATTGTGTTTCTTCGGTCAGTTACTCCTTCCTCATCAACGGTTCTCCTCAAGGGAAGGTGGTGCCTTCTAGGGGTCTCCGTCAAGGGGATCCTCTCTCACCCTACCTCTTCATTCTTTGTACCGAGGTCCTCTCGGGCCTATGTAAGAATGCGCAAGCAAAAGGTTCTCTCCCGGGAGTTAGAGTAGCACGTCGAAGCCCGTTGATCAATCACCTACTCTTTGCGGATGATACCATGTTTTTTAGTAAAACAAGCGTTAAGAGTTGTGAAGCACTCAAGTTAATCCTTAAGCGTTATGAGGAAGCATCGGGCCAATGTATTAATGTAGCAAAATCGGGGATCACTTTTTCCTCAAAGACGCCTTTGGAGATTAAAGAGAGAGTCAAGAAGATCCTTGGTATCTCAAATGAAGGAGGAATAGGGAAGTATCTAGGTCTTCCCGAACATTTTGGTCGAAGGAAAAAGGATATTTTCACGGGCATTGTAGATAAGGTTAGGCAAAGAACTTTGACTTGGTCTACACGCTTCCTTTCGGGCGCAGGGAAACAGGTCTTACTAAAGGCGGTGCTGGCCGCCATGCCCTCTTACGCAATGTCTTGTTTCAAGCTTCCCCTTTCTCTTTGCAAGAGACTCCAGTCCGCTTTCACTAGGTTCTGGTGGGATGACAAACCGGATAAACGAAAGATGAGTTGGGTAGCTTGGGAGAAACTTACTTCTCTAAAATCTGAAGGTGGTTTGGGATTTAGAGACTTGGCTACTTTCAATGATTCCCTCCTGGCCAAGATTGGCTGGAACTTATTAAGGAAACCAGACTCTCTCTTAGCAAAAGTGTTGTTAGGTAAGTATTGTCACTCTTACTCGTTCATGGAGGCTGCACCCCTCTCAAATGCCTCTCACGGGTGGCGAGGGATTCTGGCAGGAAGAGAAATCTTAAGAAAAGGGTTAGGCTGGATTGTAGGAGATGGAGAAGAGATTAGCTTGTGGAACTCTCCTTGGTTATCGACATCAAGCCCCAAGTGTCCTTTAGGACCGCCTAATGCAGATTCAGTCCACCTAAGGGTTAAAGATCTGCTCTGTCCCCTCACTCATCAGTGGAGTCTGGAAGCGATTAGGAAGTTTTTACCTCATCATGAGGAGAATATACTCAGCCTGGTTTTGAGTTCATCAAAGCGACCTGATAAGTTACGGTGGCTTCCTGTGAAATCGGGGAATTATTCCTCTAAGTCAGGTTATGCAGTTGGAAGAAGTGGCCCCGCTCTGGACGTTGAGGATCAGTTCAACTGGCAGACGAGCATCTGGAAGGTAAAAACCTCCCCAAAGATCCGCATGTTTCTGTGGAAATCAGCTCGGAGGGCTTTACCTGTCGGGACAGCTTTGGCACGCAGAGGTATTGTGGCTGAAACAGAATGCAAAAGGTGTGGACAGCTTGAGGATGCAATACACATTTTCTTTCGCTGTCCGTTTGCTGCAAAAGTCTGGGATCTCGCCCCAATTATCAATAAGCCAACTGTAGACAACAGTCCATCGATGAAGCAACTCCTCACCTCGGCCAGAAAGTCTCTGTCTCTTCCCCCGGTTGGGTTAGGAGTAACACCCCTGTATCCCTGGATCCTTTGGTTCTTGTGGAAGGTGAGAAACTATTTTGTCTTTGAAGACCAGAAGCTCTCAGAAGTGGAGACTCTCCAGAAAGCAATTACGGAGGCAAGAAGTTGGCAGGAGGCAAAACTGCAGCAACCCTCTCCAAAGTTACCAAGTCGCCAGGATAAAGTAACAGAGGCCCTTGGTGATGCCTGGCTCTGTTTCTCGGATGCTGCTTGGAAACCAGACTCGCTATTGGGAGGAATGGGTTGGATAGTGCTGACTCCCCAGAAGATTCTCTCCCTCCAAGGATCAACATCAAGACCCTTTGTGTCCTCGGCTCTAGTGGCTGAAGCACTGGCTTTAAAGGCTGGAATTAATGCCGCCTTAGCTTCGGGTGTACCAAGGCTAGCCTGTTTTTCGGATTGCCAAGAACTAGTGCTTCTTCTCAATTCCGAGGGCTATGCGAATGAGCTAGATGGAATTCTAGCTGATATCTTTTTGCTTAAAAACTGTTTTATTTCGATCTCCTTTCACTTTGTTTCGCGTTCGGAGAATGCTCAGGCGGATGCTTTGGCAAAAGCTGCTCTCCTCTCTTGTACTTTCTCCTCCCCTGCGGGAGTCTGAGACTTTTCCTATTAATGAATGAATGTTTGCCCAAAAAAAAAAAAAAAAGCTTCCAAGAGATAGAATGACAGATGCGATCTCATAAAACACGTTCAGAGACTTTACTTAATTTTCATTTTCTAAGAAACTAATGACCAAAAGCTCACCAAAAAAAAGAAACTAATGACCAAAAGAACTAGCATTTATATACTAATTCATTTTTATATTACTATATGAAATGATAATCGCTAATAAAACAGAAAGAAGAAGAAAAAATAATACTCGCTAAAATGCTAATTAGTGCTCATAGAATCTTAACTTAAAGGTATAGCCAACTTTTTGAAAGTAGACTTTAAAATGAAAGGAAGAGCATCAACCCTCCTTCCAATCCACTTTCTCTCATTATACAAACAATCTAGTCGTATAATTTTGTAATCCACTCCTTCAGCTCATCTACTCCGGAATCTTGACAAGCAAATCCGGAACAGAATTTCCTCCATTCGAGAACAGGGAGATAGGAGGAACGACGGTTGTATGGCTATTTGGTTTGGATCAAGATAACAAAGTCCCTCTTTGTTTTTTTTTCTGATCTATGTAATCAAAAATTGCTAAAACAAACGCTGCACTCGATGTAAAAAAGTTTTTTTCGAATAAATTTTACATTTTATTCAAAAAAAAAATGAGATATATATTTCGTAATTACGTATCAAAACAAAGATTGATTTTTATTTTCTTTCTAACTTTTCAAATAATATATAAAGGATATATTAAAGACACTAATAGAGTTTTTTTTTTTTTTTTTTGTCGTCTAGATTTATTATTAATTGCAAATTATGAGAACTTTTACATACACGATTCTACAACTGACAATTCCTTCCGACCCTTATTAGATCTACGACAGACTACACTTCCTTCTTCATAATCTTGATGAATACCTTCAATGATCAACGACCTGGCGACACTTCCTTCTCTGCGTAGAATCCTGGCGAACGGCTATAATTGTACATCGCTGGAGATCTCCTGCACACTTGCCTCTATTAATCTGCAAATTTGTTAATAAATCGCAATATCTAGGACTCGAACCTCAAACCTCTTGGTGTAGAAGCATTAATCAACCCTTGGTCAACCAATGGGCCAAGGGGGCTTCCACAGACACTAATAGAGTTTCTGAAAGATATATAATGCAATAACAAAATATGTTTGCCGTCTTGTTTACTTTTTCGGAAGGTAAGCATACCATCTTTTTGTGTTGCCATTGTTTTCCGGATTTTGTTGTGCCACCATTGTTATCCGTTATTTATTCTTCACTCCATGTTAGTTATATACAATAATACAAACAACACAGACAACGTTGTCGTAGATACCAGTCACACTCGATAAATTCCACGGGAAAGCGCATAAAACTAATTTGCGGTTAATGGTCAAGTTATTGAAGTAGGGGGCTTCAAAAAACAATATGTTGGTGGTTCGTATTAGTTAAAGAAAAAAGAAAGATTGGTTAAATATTTAGTTAAAAAAAAAAACAAAAAAAGCAAGGGGTAGAAGAGGAGCATGTGTGCACGGTCCAAAATGCTACTGAAGATGTCCATATTTGGATAGAAAACATAGTGGTTGGGCCAATACAGTCTGGGTTTCTCCACATTGAGACATGATTCCAATATAACGACTATTACATAGTTTTTTTTTTTTTTTTGGCTATTAGTTAACCTACTAGCTTTAGGTTGTGGTACGCGCGTATCACTCGAAACGTGTAAAGTTGATAAAACATGGAGTATATATATGAATATATGGGATTAACTTGTATCATATGAGATGAATAACAAGACTTTATATACATGAGTCGAAGAACTACCTTAATTGAGTCATCTAGCAATGCCATACCTCTATACATTACCCAATTCAATATTCTATACATTTACTGTCTTTTTTTTTGTTTATAGAGGTATGGCGCGCATTGCTAGATGACTCAATTAAGGTAGTCATATCTTTTTAAGATGGCCGCGAAAGGCAAAATGGTCAGTCGAAGTATACCACTATTTGGAGAAAAGTATACCAGAAGAGATTCATGAACATATCACAAAGATGGAAATTGAAGCCTTGAAGAGGAAAGTCATTTACTTGGCCATGGGTTAGAACCGCAAATCAGTGACTGCCATTGCCTAGAGTTCCGAAAAAAAGGAGGAAATCGTCTTTTCAATACATATTTTGATAGAAAAATATATTTTCGCCAAATGTTAGATATTTATACATGTTAAAAGAAAAAGAAAAAAAGATTGCTTGTAAAACAACAAAACCAAAAGACATAAATCGACATGTGGACATGCAGTATTGGGGTAAAGCATTAGGATGGATGTAAGAACACAACTCCGTACAGAAAAGATAATAAGAGACAAGTTTCATATAATTCGTATTTTGCACATGCATTTGATTTTAAATCTACACATGATGATTTGTATTGTTTATTTACTTATTTATAAATATATTATGTCAATAGAGAATATTGATCGTCTAATGGCCAAAATTCGTAAACCGTGATATGTAAATTTGAGTCTTTGCACAATTATGTCCCTCTAAATTTAAGCTGAATTATAATTTATTAATTAAGTCACTATACGGTAGTAATTTATATAATTTCTGTGGCTAACCTCTATCTCATATTGTTATTTTTATATTTTTGACTAAGGAATATGTACACTTGAAGTAAATGAAAATTACATAACTATTTATTGAGTTCCTTAGTTACATTCGTAAATCTTGTACCTAGCCTGATGGTTTAGGAAGCTCCATGATGTCTTTGGATGTTATGGAACACGTTTACACGATGTTGCTTTGACCACGAAGTTAAAACTTAAAAGTTAAACTCAAACCAGAGAAAAATCACAATTGAGATATGCTGATAATTTATATATAATCTATAAATTGTTTGACTACTACTGAATCAACTAACATCTTTTCATTTTATTATATCTCAAAAATTTGTTTTTGTGATTTTCATTTGTTCTCTTACAATCAAAATAATTCATTGTGGAAGCATTATCTTTGCTTCAAAGTAGGAGTGAACGAAGACTTGAGTAAATGGCGTGGAAGAAAAATCTAAAATCATTCATACTTAATTATCTCCCATTAACATTCGGATCATGAACAAAGAAAATTCATGATTGAAATTTGCTTCAAATATGTCACATATTCATATGAGATATGGACATACACAAATGAACATCTTTTTCATTTTAAAGATTTCACATTTTTGGCATGATATTGTATTACATATTAATTGATAACTAATCTTTCATTCCTATAAGTTAGCTGTTTTATGGTTTTCACATATATTTAAAATATAAATTTTAAGATAAAATCTAGGATTATTACTTTTGTTGTCGACAACTCATACTTAACCGAAACTAGTACAAACCACTACACTACATGTCTTAATGATGAATTGAGTCTAATATCATATCAATGTAGGTAAATTTTTGCAAATCTGATGATTCACTTGCTAAGTTGTCGTTAATTATGTAATTAAACGGAAAAAGGGGAAGATATTCTGCCTAGAAATCCCTATTCGATTCACATGATATTTATGCATACACTATCCCAAAGAAGGGGATATCTTACGACGTGCGTTAACCATCTAGCCTTATCGTGCCCATCCACAAATAGCACTTCTTGCTTAACAAAATTGGTTCTTTACTTAATCAACCAATGATAACTTCTCAACAATTTAAAGTTTTGCTACCAAAAAGTGAAAATGTGAAGACAAAGTCGTATCATATATTATACGTGCCATCTTATTATTAGCGGTCCCCCACTTACTTTAAAATTATGACGAAAAAAATAAAACAATGTTATCATATATTCATTTTACACTCATGATTCATTCCGTATATAGCTATATTTAGAAATAAGGACAACATCCATAGGCTTCACTTATGAAGATTATTTTACTAAAACAAAACGAAATTATAACTTGTTACGTGTCATACTCTCATTTCTTAGCAACTCTCTTATAATGCAACTACCCTCAAACTCTTTTCTCCATCTTCGGACAGTTTAACTTTCTGAAACTCTTAAGAAACTAACCAGACTTCAGATTTTACGAACAAAATGCCTCGATCCGACCCGACCCGCGGATATTCCGATGGAGACAGCCTGGTCGGAGAGATTGTCCGAGAAGAAGGTCACATTTACTCGTTAGCGGCAACAAATGATCTTTTGTACACAGGATCGGACAATAATTATATTAGGGTTTGGAAAAACTTAAACGAGTTTAGTGGTTTTAAATCGAACAGCGGATTGGTGAAAGCCATAGTGATTAGTCGAGAAGAGAAGGTGTTTACGGGTCATCAAGACGGTAAGATCCGGGTTTGGAAAACCTCGTCCAAGAACCCGCGAGTGTATACACGCGCCGGGAGCTTGCCGGCTTTGAAAGACGTTTTGAAGAGTTCAGTGAAGCCGAGTAACTACGTGGAGGTGAGAAGACGTCGTACGGCGCTTTGGATCAAGCATTCCGACGCCGTTTCGTGTTTGAGCTTAGTGGAAGATCAAGGGCTCTTGTACTCCGCGTCATGGGATCGGACGGTCAAGGTTTGGCGTATCAATGACTTGAAATGCATCGAGTCTATTAAAGCTCACGACGACGCTGTGAACTCCGTCGTGGCCACGGAGAGCCTTGTGTTCACTGGCTCGGCTGATGGAACGGTTAAGGTTTGGAAACGTGAGATCAGAGGGAAGCGTACCGTGCACTCTCTGGTCCAGACTTTGTTAAAGCAAGAATCAGCCATCACGGCTTTGGTCGTAAGCCACGTGGCGGTTTATAGTGGTTCAAGCGACGGAGCTGTGAATTTCTGGGAGATGGGAGAGAAGAAAATCTTGAAGCATTGTGAAGTTTTCAAGAAGCATAGACTCGCAGTTCTCTGTCTCGCGGCTGCCGGGAAATTGTTGTTTAGCGGTGCTGCCGATAAGAAGATATGCGTGTGGAGGAGGGAAGGGAAGGTTCACACGTGTGTCTCTGTGTTAACCGGTCATACCGGACCGGTTAAGTGTTTGGCGGTGGTTGAACCATCGGGAGAAGAAGAAAACGGTGGAGATGGGAGAGTGGTTGTGTATAGTGGAAGTCTTGACAAATCGGTCAAAGTTTGGAGGGTGCCACGTCACTAGATGTATGATTTTATTCGGTTTCTAAGAGATTTTGGGATGTATTGTAGGTAAATAAGAACAAAAACCCAAGTCAATGATATGAATTATGAGGTTCGTAGTCGTAGAGTAGGATTAATATGATATTATTAGTAGTTTAATATATATATGATACATATATAATTGAGCTAGGTTTATCGTTGGCTGCCCTATAGACGGTGAATATCAATATTAAAAAAAACTTGTTATAATTTTATAGTTTAATGAACAAACTGTTCAAAAATAGTGTAATTATACTAGCTAACCCGATAAATGAAAAAACCATGCATAATTAATCCGACCGAAGAAATACATTCAAAAACGTACGTTATAGATATTATGGGAAACTATGACTCTCGTAGAACTAGTTTGCTTCCAATGAATACGTGTAGTGTACGTATAAGATATGAAGTTTAAAATTAATAAGCAAAAATTTACATTATATGTATTTTAAAAGGTATATGTAGATCAAGAAATATCGGAAATCTAGATATTAGAAATGCGACAAATGTCAATTTAACTTTTATTTTTTTAAGGTAGATACCGACAAGAAATTCGGAAAATCGACGTATCAATATTACAGATTTACAGTTACATGAAAGTGATGGGTGGTTATCATCTCATTGTGACCGTCCATTATTTGTTTTTGTTATGAATAAATGTATTTTATTTGCTTTCGATAATGGAACGCTTTTTTAGCAATGTTTCTTTTGCTTTATAGTGATTCCTTTGTGCAAAAATGGAAACAAAGGTACGATCTACAAGAGCTATAAATGTGTCTATGTTTTAGCTCTATAAATGTGTAGGATCCCACATAAACATGTTTGTGTTCTACTGTTCCCTCTTCTCGACGACCACTTCTAATTTAATCACCTGAGACCGTACTTTGTTAGTGCCTATATCCATCATTATTTTGATCATGCACAACCTTCTTATACACAATTTAAAACTCTAAAATAAATGTAGTGTATTAGACAAAGCCACCTCTTCGCATCAGATGCTAACTTGTAGCGGTTGTTTATGAATATCACCTTACAAAGGTTAAACCGGACCATTGGATTAGGTTATGGACTGATGATTTGGTTAAATAGTCAGACTTGGATCAACTGGAGTTGATGAAGGGAGTTGATTTGATCGTCCATTATATTGTGATAGAATTTGTCTATGTTATTTGTGTGCATGTATGTAATTTTGGCTCATCTCCTATAGTTATACTGTATACTAGATTTTAACCCGCGGTACACCGCGGGATGATTTAATTTTAAAGTTAGTATAAAAATATTTTGTAAATTGTATCTCCTTATAACATATTTATTTGTATTATAGTTTACAATTGTTATTAAGTAACGGTATACCACGAGTCCACGAGATAATTATTAATAAACTGAGGATTTAACCCGTATTAAAGCGGTATATAAATATTGATTCAAATTCGTCCGCCATATAAATCATTTCCGAAATGTAACCCATTCCGTAATTTCTTAACCCGTCCTGTGATTTGTATTAAAAAAAAATAAGGATTAAATCCGTATTGAAGCGGCGGATTAATGATATTTTAATCTTTTTATTATTGTTGATTCAAAAACCCGTCCCGCCAAACCCATCCCGCCAAAAAACTCATTTATTTTATTAATGTTCTTATTTATGATATGATTCTGAATCATTGTCTAAATATTTTAATCGATGTAGAACGTTGAACACACATTTTCGTCAATTGGATAATATATGTCCGTTTTTAAAATTTCGAATCACAGTATATGCAGAAAAAAAATTAATTTTTTTTTTTTACTTTATGTATTATATGATGATTCAAAACAGTTAAAAACAAATCAAACAAAGATGATAGGAGAATCATAATTATAAATCTTAATCAAATCTTCTAAAAATCTAAATTATTAAATATGGAATATCCGGTGTATGAGTTGGGTTAAATATAACCCGATCCAACAAATTTTTTGTGAAGGAATTTTTAAAATGGGTCGGGTATCCGATATACCCGAAAGCTTTTTTACCCACCCGTCACAAAAAGTGCTGCGATTATACTAGTATAGATATATAATGGTTTAACCGAATGGATTTAATGCCAATATTTTTCTTTAGGAGATACTACAGCGACCTTAATTAATATTTGGAGATAACTTGTAAAACTAAAAACTTTAACTTAATTGACCAAGCTCGTGGAAGCCCCCTTGACCCATTGGTTCACCAAGGGTTGATTAATGCTTCTACACCAAGAGGTCTGGGGTTCGAGTCCCAGATATTGCGATTTATTAACAAATTTGCAGATTAACTGAGGCAAGTGTGCAAGAGATCTCCAGCGATGTACAATTATAGCCGTTCGCCAGGATTTTACGCAGAGAAGGAAGTGTCGCCAGGTCGTGGATCATTGAAGGTATATTCATCAAGATCATGAAGAAGGAAGTGTAGTCTGTCGTGGATCTAATAAGGGTCAGAAGGAATTGTCAGTTGTAGAATCGTCTATGTAGCAGTTCTCATAATTTGCAATTAATAATAAATCTAGACGACAAAAAAAAAAATTGACCAAGCTCAAGAATTGCCACGTGCTTTAGTAAATTGCATCTTTATGACCGTATGTTTTTTTATGTTAAATTGTTTTGTATAATATATCAAATGATCTAGCGAAAGAATTTTAATCTATAATAAACCCATTTTTAAGTTGAACATCTCTTTATGAGCAAGAATTTGTCCGGACCAGCATTAAATTGACGAGTCTTTGATAACTTTCAAATCACGAATACAATATATCATTTTGGAAAATATCGCTATATCTTAAACTACGGTTATGCGAAAGGGTCTAATACAAGTTAGACCAATCATTAATAAATCAGCTTCAAGCTGAAATTTAAGGTTGAAAATACATTCCAGAAATCACAAATTGGTTACCATTTGTCTTTTTTCTTTTTGAAAGAGAACAAGTTACAATTTGTCTTAGGACCATTCTCTTTATTATTAGCATAATTATATTTTTAGCGAAAATAAATTAAAAGCAACCTGAGTATTTCACTCAAAGCTGGAATATTTCTTAGTCATTGTGACTTTAAGCCCATACTTCATGTGAAGAATGAGACCAGGTTTTGGCTCAATCTTCTGTCCAGTGACAACCTTAATCTCATAGTTTTGTAATATTTCCACGACCACGGTCTTCATCAAATTCATAGCTAAATTCTTACCGAGACATGATCTTGGGCCGGCATTGAAGGATAAGAACTTGTAAGAAGGCTCATGTCTCAACCCTCCTGTCTCTGAAATCCATCTCTCTGGCTTGAACTCCATTGCGTCTTCTCCCCATACAGTTTTCATTCGTCCCATAGCATAGATAAGGATCATAATATTGATATTTGATTTGACTTTGTGTCCACTTGGAAGCACATCTTCTTTGATTGGAGACTTGCGTTCAAATGGTATTGGTGGGTAAAGCCTCATTGATTCACTCAATGCACCATGTAAGTACACCAACTTGTTCAAGTACGATGACTTGTCTTGGTCATCACTTCTGGTTCTTGGTAGATATGTGTTGATCTCTTGGAGAATCTTGGTTAAGACGTTAGGGTTTTCAGACAAATTCCAGAAGAACCAAGTGAGTGCAGAGGCAGTGGAATCTCTTCCAGCTGCCATGAAACCTACTGTGAAGTCTCTGAGGAACTTATCATCGCTAGGGTTCAAAAGCTTGTAATTGGTTGCGTCAAGCATTATGTGGGATGTCAACAGATCCTCACTTTCTTCATTAGTAATCTCTTTTGATCTTAGCTCTTCTCTCTTTGCTGCTATAAGTTTTTCACAAACACGATCAAGAGTGGCATGAGCTTCGGTCATCTTCTTCTCTGTTCCGAGACCAATCCATTTTTGTAGCTTCCACACGAACCTTGGTGTAATATGCCTATGCACAATCGCATCTCCCACATCATCAAGAGCTTTGGCAAACTCAACCTCTGGCATTTCAATGGAGAGACTTCTGGGATCAGACCCGGTTACGAAAATGAAGGTTACATCAAACATGAATCTCTGGAACACATCTTCCAAGTCCACAACCATCTCTTCATTTGCAAAGTGATTGAAAAGAGGCAGAAGCCCATCCTTGAGTTTACTCTTCGTGGTACTTGCTGAGAAGTTTTGGTACCTTTGATGATTGAATATGATCTGAGATGCGTTCCTCTAATTCCTCCATAGCTCCGAGTCCGAGTTGATGATCCCGTCTCCGTAAGCTTCAAATATTTCGTGGAAAATAGGACCTTTGATGTAATTTGAGAAGTTTGAGCTCATTATATGATGAATATTAGCTGGATCAACTGTGGCTAATACATCCATTCCAACGAACCATGGACCTTTGAATTGAAACGTCAAGTTGGAGTTCTCAAGAACCTCAACACTGCAGTCATAGATGCGCTGGAGCCTCAAGAGCCCACCGGGAAGCATTCCAAGAACCGGCCAGTTCCAAGGGCAGCTTCCAAGGGTTTTCTTGATGGGTAAGTAACTGAAAGGTTTCTTGACAAGGAAGTAAAAGAAGATGAGAAAGCAAAGTAGAGCTATGAATGCTTCAAATAACCCTATTGAAGCCATTAGATAGATTAGAGAAGGTTTTTTTTTTCTTTGCACAAAGAGAAGAAGCAGGAACTCAAATTTATATACACACAACATTCGTCGTCAACCAGGCGAATTAAAAAGTCTATTGTTGCATTCAGTGGCGGATCCAGGAATTTATTTTATCCGGGACAATAATATTAAATTAAAAAAAAACTCTAATTTTGCCAACAAAAATGAATTTTCTAAGTAAGTAAAGCATTTGATTTATTTTTCCAAGTTAACGAAAGTGATTTAAAGTTATTTTGTTAGTAAAATATGGGCTTATTTACAAAGAAAACAAAAAAAAGTTAGGCTTTTGTATTGTATTTTGTATTATATGAACTTTAAATTATAATATTATACAACACAAAACCTTTGTATAAGAAGAAAACAGAGTAATTGGGGGCATTAAACATATATTTAACAGGGGCATAATTAAAAGCTCTTGTAAATAACACCAACTTTGAAAATTTTACCCGTGGCAAGTGCCCCGCCCCCTAAGCGTAACGTACGTCCGCCCATGGTTGCATTACATTTGAATTCCACACTAAAGATATGTTTTAAAAAGAGTCATTTTGTATTATAATAACCAAGGATTCTTGTTGAAGGTTAATGGTTACCGTCTCCTATAAACAAGGAGCACATGATTCTCATTTATGGTATCCCAGTGCAAAGTAATTTATTATCTCTATACGATTAAAAGAGGAGTACAAAATAGTTTTGGGTTGCCGGGGTTTAGTCCCATCGAAAGTTTCGTGTTTAAGTTATGGAATACATCATTTTAGTTTCCATTTCGAGAACTGTCCAAAGATAGAGATATGCACATATGCATAAATATAATTAGAATGTAAATCGTGATATGAACATCATAATCATCTATCATGATCTATGATTATGGTATGTTGAGTATGAGAAGGTAAGAGCTAGAGCCATATATTTTAATCCGTATTGCCAATTTATATGCAGGAAAAATGTTGTTGTTGATGTTTTTAGGAGATATGAGATAGAAAATATAAAAAATTGAAAAATGTATTTGTAAACATCGTAGAGTGTGTTTTACTTCAGACTTACTATTTTGTATATATCTTTTTTATTATAGTTAAAAATACTTGGGTTCACCCATAGGGGTGAACCCTTTATATTCACCTCCTTTATTTCAGCCAATCAGAATATGCCACATAATAATAATAATAAAAAAATTTCATTTAATTATAAAATCTAATTTGCCACTAAAACGAAATTATATATCGGTTTAGGTTTATTTGAAAGGGTTAAGAGTTTAGATTTTATGATTAAACGAGGTTATATATCGGTTTGGGTTTATAAACATGTTTAGATTTTACAATTAAACGAGGTTAAATGTCGGTTTGGGTTTACAAAGTATGATTAGGTTTATAGATTTTTTACGAGTAAACGAGGTTAAATATCGGTTTGGGTTTATAAAGTACGATTAGGGTTTAGAAAGTACGATTAAGGTTTAGATTTTTACGATTAAACGAGTTTAAATGGCGGTTTGGATTTACAAAGGAGAATTAGGGTTTAGATTTTGTAACTAAACGAGATTATATATCGGGTTGGGTTTATGAAAGAATGGTTAGGGATTAGATTTAATAATTAACTGAATTTAATATTTTTATTATGTTGTGAATTCTGATTGGTTAAGATAAATGGGGGTGAATAAAAGGGTTCACCCCTAGGGGTGAACTCAAGTATTGTGGCATTTTCTGATTGGCTGAAATAAAGGGGATGAATATAAAGGGTTCACCCATATTTTTCTAAGAAAAATATATGTTGTGATTTAGTAACCAAAATTAATAATATAAGAACCCGTAATTGTTAAAATTGTTCAAATGTTTTATAAAACTACACTTACCAAGCAAAAAAAAAACTCCAAATTTTCTAATGTATATATCACAAAAACAAGAAAAATGATAAAAAAAAAATAATAATAATGAAATTTAAAAATAAAAATTTTATTTTATTTTATTTTAAAATTTTTCTCTAAAAAAGAAGAAAAAAACTGAACTGTTAGCCTTAAAAAAACATTTATAAAAATTAATAATATGGAGAAAATCATATTTTTGAAAAAAGAAAACTGGACATTAAAACAAAAATCATATTTTTGAGATATGCAGATTTTGTATGTGTTTATCATAACAATTAAAATACGATTTAATATCTATTCTCAAAAAAACATTACAAAATATTATATAATTATGTGATGCTCATTTTGAAATATTTTTGCCATTAAAATAGGCTATTTATTAGGAGCATTAATATCAAAGATTTTCCATTAAATTTTTATCTTGTTTATATTTGTTAGACCCATATTCTCCTAAAAGTGCATTAATGTTTTACAATCTATTATAGGAAAATAATTTTGATAAACCGTTCAAATAAAGAAAGGATCCAAATTTATTAATTTCGAAATATATATAGAGTAATTAGTTTTTTAAAATCGAGATTTAAGCAAGATTTTAGGACCAAAATAGTTTTCTTAATATCTTTTGATTGATATTTTTATACTAAAAATAAATGTCAATGGCATGACCTCGTAAATAAGGTGAAACTCTAGGATTTATTTACCAAATGTACTTTTTTTTTTTTTTTGTCACCTGAAATTAATTAGAGCTCAAAAGAGCAATTCCTGTGGAATGTTGTTTACAAATGTGATATGAAGCGGTTCTGTACGAACTTTTCGTGCCAGATGATCCGCTTTTACATTAGCATTACGAGAAATTAAAGATAAAGAGAAGGATGAGAATTCTTCCTTGTCGCTATGAAATTCCTCCAAGTACACTGAAAACGCCGGCCATTCGGTTGGAGAAGACACCATCTTAACCAGATCAGAACAGTCTGTAAGGAACTCTACCTCTTGATTATCTGCACCTATCATACACTTCATCGCCCAGAGCAGGGCCTCGAACTCGGTATGTAATGGAGATAAACTTCGACGGAGATTTGCAGCTCCCATGGTTGGCGGCTCTCCGTTTGATGATGTACAGAACCATCCTGTACCGGAGAACTTATCACTTTCTTTCCACGATCCATCCACAAAGCAACGGTATCCTGAATAAATTGATTCAAGTGCAGTATTCCCCACTCGAGACCGATTAACCAATTCCACAGTACCATGAGTTTCATGATGAAGCTCAATTTGGGCAGACTGCCACAATTGTGCTTCTTTTTCCGCTAACCGTAATACCTCTAACGGATCTTTATCAATATTTTCAAATATTTTTTCATTCCTTGCTGTCCATATATACCAGATAATCCATGGAAAGGCTGAAGAGTCAAATTCCGTAGGTATTCTCCAAAATAAATGGTCCAAATTCGCAAAAATAGACTCCGTTGGAAAAATTCCCATTGCTGTAGGAATCTGAGAGAGTGCCCAAACCTGTCGAGCCGGGTGGCACTGAAAGAGTGTATGATTGATTGTTTCCACTGGTTCGCCACATCTAGCACAACCTGTATCACAATCAATTCCTCTTTTCCGTAAATTTTCCGTGACTGGTACACAACCCGTTAAAATTTGCCATAAGAAATGACGTATCTTAGGTGGACAATGCACTTGCCAAGAATGTGCTTTTAACGGTTTTATGTCTGGACCAATCAATGAAAGATTTATCTCCAAATTTCCTAACCGTGCGGTATGATATCCCGATTTGACTGTATATTTTCCGGATCTTGTAAAATGCCAACCCAGTGTATCCTCCTTAGTTGGCGTACCCACAGGTAGGGCACTTATGATGGCGATATCTTCTGGATCAAAGATCTCCTCTAGGAGAGCAATATTCCAAAAATTCGACCGACTATCTATAAGATTATTTACTTTTAACAATGGGTCAACAAGTGAACCATTACTCTTTGCTGGTCTCGGGAATTGAGCTGGAATCCAGGGATCTTCCCAAACTGAGATGGATTTCCCCGATCCGACCCTTTTAATAAGTCCTTTATTAACCAGAGATCTAGCTGAACAGATACTGCGCCATCCATATGATGGGGAGTATGATTTAATATTTTCCAAGGGATTGGATTTCCGAAAATACCGCCCTTTAAACACCTTTGCAAAAAGGGAATCTGGAACCGTAATCAACCGCCATAACTGTTTAGCTAATAGGGCTGAATTAAAATCGTCTACATGCCGAAAGCCTAATCCTCCTTCCGATTTACTATTGCACAACTTGTTCCAAGCCATCCAGTGCATACCTCTGGAATCTCCATTTGAACTCCACCAAAATTTAGCAACCGCACTAGTAAGTTTAGAAGTGATTGTTTTCGGTAGTCTGAAGCACGACATAACATAAGTTGGTAATGCTGTAGCTACCGATTTAATCATCACTTCTTTCCCACCTTTCGATAAAAATTTTGCCGACCATCCGTTAATTCTTGTTTGCAATCTATCTCTGACCAAATGTACTTCAAAAATGTAAATATAAATATTTTATTTTTTTGGACTATGCTATAATAGTGATAGTATGCAGAAAATCTTTAAAGACTGGCTTTACATGATGAATGACAGTGGTCTATAGGTGGTGGCAAGTTTATGCTTATGAGATGTTGTTCTCATACTCGACCAACAAAGAAAAAACTATGAATACTTCAGATAAGCTTATATCAATCAAATCCGATAGAGAATTATGTGTATAAAATATTAAAGGTGCAAAATGAGTCGGTCCTTCATATGACTCGCCTTGCGATAAGGCAAATATATTTTAACTCTCGGCAAATCAATTTATAAGATCTGTTGATAACAAATAAGAAATCCCAGTATCTATATTCCGTGAATGTTTGTGGTCTTACGGAACTGTCCACGAAGTTAACTTTTGTTTTTTAAATGAATAAAAAATACACATATTGTTGAAAATTAAATTAACAATTTTTTAATAAGAAATAACCTTTTTATTATTTTATTTTTATACTAGTTTTATATCTTACATTATCATATGTTTAATATATTATACTTCATCACTTATATGAAAATATAATTTATTTTATTAAAAACTAGTAGTCCTATTTATTAGACCTGTACCTTACAGCGGACAGTTCCATGAGACATGTTTCTTAGCAAATCTAAAATCTTAAGTTCATTGGCTCATCCACGGGTTTTGCCCGTTTGACATCTCTACAAAAGGCTAATCTTATACGCACACGATAATACTACAACCACATGACCGAGTTCCAAAACCATGAGTTTATCGTTTCAATGGTTTAACCGGGTAGACTAATGCCAATAACTAGCAGTTACAACATCGACCTTAATATTTGGCGATAACTTGCAAAATTAAAAACTTTTAACTTAATTGACCAAGTTCAAGAACTGCCATTTGCTTTGGTAAATTCCGTCTTTCTGATCTTATGTTTTTAATGTTTAATTGTCTTGTATAATATATTTAGATGGTTTAATGAATTTATCAAATGATTAAGCGAAAGACTTTTAATTTTTAATCTTCAAGACTGTCTGTGCCCGATGTGATTATTTAAATATTTATCAATTGATTTTGAATCCATTATTTCCTAAACAACTTTGATTTGCTACTTTTGTGATACAGCGCAAGAATTTGTCCGGACTTAAATGATAAGTCTTTGATAACTTGTGTGGCAATTTACGAATACAATACATCATTTTGAAAAATATTGCGAAAGGGTCTAATACAAGTTAGACCAATCGTTAATAAATCAGCTTCAAGCTGAAATTTAAGGTTGAAAATACATTCCAGCAATTACAAATTAGTTACCATTTGTCTTAGGACCATTCTCTTTATTATTACATATCTTGAGCATTTTTTTTTTTTTTTTTTGAATAACCGCGGGTCTCCCAAAGGCTTCCTAGGCCCAAGGACTAATCCCACGAGGCTGGCAATTCCCCTATGTAAACCTGCCAGTGGCTGTGCTTCGAACCCTGGTGGCGGAAGTCACAGCTGTGACCCCTTTACCACTAGGCCACAAGGCCCGGTTATAACTTGAGCATTTCAGTTAAAGCTGGAACATTTCTTAGTCATTGTGACTTTAAGCCCATACTTCATGTGAAGAATGAGACCAGGTTTTGGCTCAATCTTTTGTCCACTGACAACCTTAATCTCATAGTTTTGTAGTATTTCCACTACCACGGTCTTCATCAAATTCATAGCTAAATTCTTACCGAGACATGTTCTTGGGCCGGCATTGAAGGATAGGAACTTGTAAGAAGGCTCATGTCTCAACCCTCCTGTCTCTGAAATCCATCTCTCTGGCTTGAACTCCATTGCGTCTTCTCCCCATACGGTTTTCATTCGTCCCATAGCGTAAATAAGGATCATAATATTGATATTTGATTTGACTTTGTGTCCACTTGGAAGCACATCTTCTTTGATTGGAGACTTACGTTGGAATGGAATTGGTGGGTAAAGCCTCATTGATTCACTCAATGCACCATGTAAGTACACCAACTTGTTCAAGTACGCTGACTTCTCTTGGTCACTTCCGGTTCTTGGTAGATATGTGTTGATCTCTTGGAAAATCTTGGTTAAAACGTTAGGGTTTTCAGACAAATTCCAGAAGAACCAAGTGAGTGCAGAGGCCGTGGAATCTCTTCCAGCTGCCATGAAACCTATTGTGAAGTCTCTAAGGAACTTATCATCACTAGGGTTTAAAACCTCGTACTTAGTTGCATCAAGCTTTATGAAGGATGTCAAAAGATCCTCACTTTCTCCATTGGTATTGTGAGTAATCACTTGTGACCTTAGTTCTTCTTTCTTCGCTGCTATAAGTTTTTCACAAACACGATCAAAAGTGGCATGAGCTTCCATCATCTTCTTCTCTGTTCCGACACCAATCCATTTTTGTAGCTTCCACACGAACCTTGGTGTAATATGCCTATGCACAATCGCATCTCCCACATCATCAAGAGCTTTGGCAAACTCAACCTCTGGCATTTCAATGGAGAGACTTCTAGGATCAAACCCGGTTATGAAAATGAAGGTTACATCGAACATGAATCTCTGGAACACATCTTGCAAGTCCACAACCATCTCTTTATCTGCAAAGTGACTGAAAAGAGGTACAAGCCCATCCTTGAGCTTACTTTTTGTTGTACTTGCTGAGAAGTTTTGATACCTTTGATGATTGAATATAATCTGAGACCCGTTCCTCCAATCCCTCCATAGCTCCATGTCGGAATTAATGATGCCGTCTCCAAAAGCTTCAAAAATTTCGTGGAATATAGGACCTTTGATGTAGTTTGAGAAGTTTGAGCTCATTATATGATGAATATTAGCTGGATCAGCTGTGGCTAATATATCCATTCCAACGAACCATGGACCCTTGAATTGAAACGTCAAGTTGGAGTTCTCAAGAACCTCGACACTGCAGTCATAGATGCGCTGGAGCCTCCATAGCACACCGGGAAGCATTCCAAGAACCGGCCAGTTCCAAGGGTAGCTTTCAAGGGTTTTCTTGATGTGTAAGTAACTGAAGTGTTTCTTGCCAAGGAAGTAATAGAAGATGAGAAAGCAAAATAAAGCTATGAGTGCTTCAAATAACCCTATTGAAGCCATTAGATAGATTTGAGAAGGTTTTTCTTTTTTGTACAAAGTGAAGAAGAAGGAACTCAGTTTTATATATACACAACACTCGTCGTCAACTAGGCGAATTAAAAGGTCTATTGTTGCATAGCTTGCATTAATTACATTTGAATTCCGAGAGAGGCATCTCTAGATCCCCACTAAAGATATGTTTTAAAAAGAGTCATTTTGTATTATAGTAAGTAGTAACATATAAGGATTTCTTGTTGAAAGTTAATGGTTACCGTCTCCTGTACACAAGGAGCACATGATTCTCATTTATGGTAACCCAGTGCAAAGTATCTCTATACTATTAAAAGAGAAGTACAAAAATGTTTTTGACCAGAGTTTTAGAAATTATTTACTAAACATACCACTGAGATTTATCCAATATAGGAGAATTCATTAGACATTAAGGGTAGATTAGGGTTTACATAAAACAAAACAATAACGGGTCGGTGCAAAATCGACCCGTAAAGTTGGCCCGCGTTTTTTTATTCGGAGACACAATTAACAATGGCGAAACTTGTTGCAGGGAACGATTAGTAATGAATCTTGCTCAAAATCTATGGATCCAAGTTAAGGTATGTTGCTAAAGGAGACTTGTCGCAAAATGTAGTCTTAGTATTGTATTCACTATATATCACCAAACCTCTCCTTCGATATCTGAGTTATAAGGTCCGGCTCAACTTTTGGTTGGACTCTGTGCTAAGAAAAAAAAAAACTTTTTTTTGTTAGTACATGTAAAAAAAAAAAAAAAGTGGACCCTTTTGTCTTAAGGAAAAAAGCAAAAAAAAAGAAAGAGACCCTGTGCTAGTGCACTCTCAGCACATGCATAGAACCGGCACTATATTCAGCTTTTAGTTGTGACATATCAGAGATCTTTTATCCTTTTGGGATATCATAATCTTATTATATGGTTTATTATCAAAAATTCAAGGTTCGTACTTCGTAGTCTCTGTTACATTATCATATCTATTATAAGTATTAAATTAGTAATCACACATTAAGACATAGAGAACACCATATTCTTTGTTCCAAGTTCCATCCAAACTAATCAAATCACTTTGAACCATTTCATGATTTGATTGCTTTGGTCGGTCCAATATAATTTAGGAGACTTGTGGACTTCTTCTACTGAACTTTCTCAATTTCATAACTCTAGATGCATTAGTGATAGATAGTAGGGGGTGTCTAATTTGGTTGAATCATATCAACTCCTTACAAAAGAATTCACTTTTTTTACGGACCTACGACAGAAAACTAGAGTTTAACTAGATTTAAAAATAAAATAAAAAAAAAAATAACTAGATTTTAACTTTGTTCTTAAAATCCCTAAACAGCAGTATTCGGGTTTTCACTTTCATGAGCCAGAACCTGAAAAAAGATCCTAATATTTTGAATAAATTGAGACACAAATATTGTTGTTATTTTCAAATGCCGATCCTATGTAGGACGAGTTTTTGCAACCCTAATAAGTTTTTGCTGTAACAAACCATACTCGGTTGCATAGTCACAAATTTGTGTGTGGAACTTGTTTTAAATTATGTATGTTTTCGTAAAAGTTGGTTTTGATTGTGGTAATTGCGTGATTAGTGCGATGATTCATACAAATGGGTTTAAAGTAAAGAACTAACGATATGAAATTGAGGAGTATACGCAAATTAAGTTTGGCGTCTCTTAACTTAAGGGATTGGTCATTGCCTCCTCACATGCGCATATGAAATCAGCTGTCCTTAAAAACTGTATTAATGTGCGCTTCATCTTAAACTAAACATAGATTTTAATATCTAGCCATATATTTAAAGGAAATCAAATACTTTTTTTTTTTTTTTTTTTTTTTTTTAGAAATCAAATACTTTCTTTGGAAATCTTCGAAAAAAGGTTAAAGCTTTCTTCTATAAACCAATCTACAGAAGAAATTCCTTGGTGACTAGTGAGTAAATATATATGTTTATTACAAACAAAAATGGGTCTTATCCTCGGCCTAAATCGATGAAACAACTCTCTTGTTTAAATTTTCTAAATTCTAAATTATTCAGTTACAGTGATAAGAAATATAACTAACCGATTGGCAATTGTGGTTGGCCACTTTGAATATTTTGAAATGAAAAAAATATATACTCCTTCTGTTTCATAAAGAGTGTCGTTTAAATGTTATTGTGTTTTCAATGCAGTTTTTAAGACTATTTCTCTTTTTCTATTCTTATTAATTCAGCTTATTAATTAGAGAAAAAGTATTATCTAGTATATTAATAAAAGATATAAATAAAATTCTTTTTATTTTTTTATTTTGTTTTAAAAATGCTAGAATAACACTCTTTGTGAAACAGTGGAAGTAGTTTTTTTACGTGTTCTAATAATTAGTTTTAGCATTATGTTAAGATAACCCAGTTATCAAACCAATTTTTTTTTTATTAAGCATCCGAATCCCAAAACAAATATTCTTTGGGAAATTTCTAAAATTAAATTTTAAACTATCTTTGTATAGCAGATTACATAACTATTTTCTTGGTCTATACGTACAATGAGTGTATGAACAGTTATGGTTTACTTCTTATTTTGGAAAACAGAGTTTCTTTAATCGCAATTAAATATCTCGCAACGTAAATGCTCCATCAACCATATGTGCATTAAATGTAAATCGATCTTATCTATCAATTAAATCGATGAAACCATTAAGGGATATTTTGGATAAATTTTGATGTACATTCATAATTCAGTTATAACGAAAGAACTAGGGGGTATTTTTGATTTATTGATTTGTAAATCCATATAGGATTAGAAAAACTTTATTAATTGTGAAATTAATACATATGAATTTTGAAATAACATGTGTTTATCTATAGATTTGAATCTTTTTATTTAGGGGGTGTTATTGGTTTGTGATTTATATGGAATTTTAGTGACTTGAAATGTTATGAATAATCTTTTGTTATTCAATTAAGATTTTATAAGACTCTCTTAAACTTTGGTGTTATTAGATTCTGATTTGTAAAAAGTAATCTAAAGTCTTCATAAATCTTGAGTTATTGGATTCATACTTTAATAAAGTCATTAAAAGTTTTGTGTTATTCAATTAAAACAAAAGAATCTATGATTGTTAATGATTTGAATTATTGTGTTATTGGTTTATGATTTTATACATTTTTCTTCACAAACTAAAATCATGAAAAGTATCATAAAAAAAGAGAGATTGTGAATCATGACTTTGTATATAAACAAAAACCAATGATAAACCATCGTGAAAAATGACCACAGATTTTCACCAGCCTTAAAACCTCACGACACATTATTTTATCCGATTCTACAAACACCATTCATTTCATAATTTTGGTGTGTGAACTCTGGAAGAAGAGACCACTCTCATCAACCATGAACCATAAAAACTCCACCGCTCTTTCTCTCCCTCAATCATTTGCATCTCTTCCTTAATTCTCTCTTCCCATCTTCTTCATCATCATGCATTATTTGTCACATCATCATTATACTAGCTGCCAAGTCATTCTTCTTCCTCTTGGTGTGACGTGGAGATTTTGGAGATATGTTATAATAAAAGATGGAAATACTGTCCAAGTTTATAATATTTAGACAGATTTTACAAGATTATAAGAAGATTTTACAAGATTATAGAAAAGCTAATCACAGAGATTATACAAAACTCTCTTGTAATCATTTAAACTCTTTAAAACTCTTTAATTTTATCTACTTTCTATACTTTTTAAAAGTCACTAAAACTCTTTCAAAGTCACAAACCAATAACACCCCCTTATTTCTCTCAAGTCCATTCAAATCCGCTTAAAACATAATTTGAGTTTTAAAATTCAAAATCAAATGACTAAACGAATAACATAGGATTTTAACTAGTATTTATAAATCATAGAACCAATAACACATGATTTTAGTTAAGATTTTAAAATCAATGATTGAATACAAAATTATTTTTGTTTGGATTTCTAAATCTTTATAAATCTATGAACTAATAATCCCTTAAAATAAGAAAATTAGAAACAAAAATATTTGTATAATAGAAAGTCAATTCCTTTCATTATTATATTATTCTATAAACAAGACATTATTATATCAAACTCGTTACATGTATTACACAACACATCATGCGTCTAAGATTAGTCAACTATTCAAGAAACCATAGCAGCCGATGTATTATAATTTATGACGAAGGCCTAAAGGTAAAAAGAAAAACTTAGTAACCTCTATAAATTAATACTCGATAAATTAATAAACACGATAAAATAATAAATTACAGTGAAACCTCTATAAATTAATACTCTATAAATTAATAACCTCTGTAAATTAATAAATTTTTCCGGTCTTGGGACTAGTGTAAAATATGACATAAATCGATAAATTAATAAGATAATAATTTTTTTGAAAATCTCATGTAAACATATGGTCCCATCTATATCATAAATTAATAATTGTATTAACTTCTCAATATATATATATATATATATATACATTATATAAATATATATATGTAATATATGAATTACTATAATATATATTTAATATATTATATGTAAAACATTTGATGAAATATGACTCTATTATTCGAAAAAAGTTTGTGTTGTTTTTTAAACTTAATAATTGTTTCTCCACTTGTAATTAGTTTTAAAAAGATATTGTTTATAAAGTAAAAATTTATTTTTAGATAGAAATTTTTGTAAGAAATTACAAAATTAGGAAAATCTCTCTATAAATTAATAATTATTAATTTATCGATAAATTAATACCTCCCTAATTTAATAAAATTTCTTGGTCCCAACATTATTAATTTATAGAGGTTTTACTGTATGCCGGTCCCGAGTCGGGCCAATGTAAAAATTAACAAAATTCGATAAGATAATAAGATAATAATTTTTTTGAAAGTCCTATATAAAAATATGGTCCCAAAAATATCATAAGTTAATAATCATAGAGTATATATATAAAAGATAATATATAATCTATAGTTTTATGTTTTTTTTTTAAGTATTGAATATTCGTTAGAGTTTGTCTCGAACTTTAATTGTATGAAACAATTTTTTGTCGCTAATTTTTGGTAAATTATGTTGTCTTTTAATTTTAAACTATCATATTATAGTATCGTTTATAACTTCGTAATAAATTAGCCACATTGTTTTTTTAGTTTCCAACTGCTTAGTATGCTTCATTTTCGTTTTAATAGTCTACAACATTGTTAATTTATTATAGTTGACGTTAGTAATCATAAAGTTAAATTTAATTTGTGTATATCATTTGTATAAACAAATTTAATTATAGTCTTTGTGATTTAAATTTCAAATGAATTTTTTGAAATATTATATTTTCAATTCTAATATTACAAAAATTATAACTTCTAAATCATTAATTTTATGTATATTGAATTGTCTAAGCTCATATTTTTCTAAAATTTGAACAATTAAACCAAATATCTCTATAAATTAATAAATATTAATTTAAAGTGTAAATTAATAAATATTAATTTATAGATAAATTAATATCACTATAAATTAATAAAATATCATGGTCCAAATATTATTAATTTATAGAGGTTTTACTGTATTGAAATTGTTAGTAAATCTCATATTTAATTCCATTCGTTGAAAATACTAAACTAAGACACAAATGTGGGTTTGGTTTTTATAATAGGAGAGAAGAGAGGTATTGAATGAGAAAATCGGCCAACTCAATTCAGCCATTGATATTTGTCGCGTCGTAGAGGCGTCGAAGCGGTAGCAACAAGATATTCATGAATACCCTGCGCAGTATATTATATAAAAAAATCAATTTACAAAAATTACCGCATGGCATAGCTGCAAAGCAAATGTTATTGATAAATTGGTTATTATTAGAGAAAAATGTCAAAAAAACCGCGAACTTTTAAATTTAGGACGAAAAAAACATGGCAGTCCGATCCTAGTATATGCTTGATAGGGATAGTTTTGTAAGATAAACTTTTGTTCATATCACTCTGATTCTAAGTCCATGCTTCAACGAATGACACTTCCCAAATCAATAAGTTACGAAAAGATGGTTCAATATTCTTCTACAAATAAAGATGGGAATGATCAAAGTTTTCCATCGAACTGAGTCCTGCGAAAAACAAGGATGAATCGCAAGAGTTTCGCATTAACAAAAAGCTCTGCCTAAAGAGCAGTTGAACTGTGTTTTGGTCTTGCTGGGAAGTGGAATCACAAAGACGGTCTCTGACAGAGGATGAAGAGTTGACAACTGATAAAAGCCATTACCAGAGAAGTCACAAGCTCAAACCCAACAATTTTCGGGAAATGCCATCCCATGACTCTCTTTAGATAGCTTGTGATTGAAGGCATTGTTGCGATGATGATTGCACAAGTGTATATGATGGGGATCAGACTCTTCGGCTTGTTCTTGCGTAGCCACATCAAAGAACCTAGTGCAGCTAGAGATATCGTGAACACCTGAATTTGACACAAACGTTTGATGGAAGTGAGAAACAATTACAGATGGATCTTTCTAGAAATAAAAAATTGGTATGTACCAGATTTGCATTGGCTTCAAGCCCTTGCAAAACATAATCCCAAGTGAACTCCAGTCCTCGAGCACCGACCCAGAGAGGTGCCAACCTGTGCAAAACAGAATCTGCGAATGCCCATCCTGAACAAAAAGAAAGCATTTTTTTAATAAATATTCCATGATGAAAAGAATCATTAGGGCAAGCCTAGTAATGTTGAAAGGTCCAACGGAATTTAGTCATGACGACCACTGATAAATATTGAGGGAAGTCTAGAAATGGTTAAAAGCTCCAACGGAATTTCGACATGGAAACTACACATCCAGTAATCATAAAAAAGGAGTTTCTTTTCTATGAACCAGTTCAAAGCAATTCCACCATCAAATCATCGATTTGTAACATTTTTTTAGAATGTTATATCCAAAGCTAACAATATTTGTAGCAGCAGAGATCCACTTACCAAGGCCAACAGCTTGAAACTTATGGTTTTGGGAGATGTTCCTGTGTGTCAGCTGGGCCAGAGCATAATATAGACCAGCAACATCTATGAAGCCAATCATTGCTTTCAATGCTTCCTGATACAAGGGAGATTGAACCCATATTTAGTCATCTAGATTATAACATAAAAAAACAAGCTAAGCGGTAATAGTAGAAGTTGACAGTGAAAAGAAAGTCAACAATGTGCATCTATACAATAGAGAAAACGCATCATCAACTTCAGAAAAAAAGAAGAAAATGCAAAAATGACCAAGAAAATATGTCTGGTGGTTTAACATTGTATGTCATTTTCCTTAGAGTAGCAGTAAAGACGACAACTTCATCGCATTTCAAATAGAGAAATAAAAAACAGGCTTGTATAAAGAAGTGTAAGGTGCTAACATTGATCGTAACTTAGCTACAAGTATATACCTGGTATGGGTCAAATACTTCAGTCTCAGATACTTGCAGAAAAGTCGCCAAACAAACAAGCTGCCATGAAAATAACCAATAAGCTTAGCTATAAGCGATTCAGATACAAATCAATCGAAAGAAATATTCGCCCAAAGATGTTACAGTTGACTAACCTTAACCAATGCAGTAGCAAGGTAAACAACAGCAGCTTTCACGGAGGTTCCAAGTGTATCATATTCAGATCTGCAGATTCACTTTCCGATTACAAACTATAACCCTAACATAAATTCAAGCCATCACACCAACTAAGCTCCGCAGAAGCTTAAACTAAGCCTAAAATTCTAGATCACGAAGTTTACAAGTAAGCGATTGTTGTAGGCGAAAGAAGATCTAAGTAAAATCTTAGATTAGGTATGACTAAACGAACAGAGATTACAATTTGAGATCACAGATCGAGAAAGAGGATTTGTTCATACAAGGGAGTGGCGGAGTAGTAGACGGCGTGAGGACCGAATGTGAGAATCGCACAGTTGAAGAAGTGAAAAAGCGTCATCGTCTGTCTCTGACACCCAAATCAGTGGCTACAGGTCCGGCGACGCAAAGACGACGACGACGACGTGAAGCTGTGAAATTGAAGAAGAAGAGGTTTGTTTAGTTCTCTGATCTCTGAAACTCTGATGGAATCAACAAAAACTTTTTATGGGTTTCGCTTTGGGTCATTATTGGGCCGTAAATGTTTTTGTTCAGTTTTCTTGAGAGCTAGTTTTTCATATGGGTTACACAGAAGAAAAGTTATATTTGTTGTAAAATGAAATGAACTTTTTTTTTTTTCTTGAATCAATACAATAATAACACATTGTTTCTCTCTTGGGTTGATACATCAGATTTTTCAGATGTTCTAAGCTTGACACATCAGTAAAAACCTTTATCCAATCAAATTATAACAATTAATACAACTCATCATTTTCGTCCAATCAAAATACTCTCTTCTAACACATCATTTGTTAACATCATCATCTTGGGTTTTTTAGATTTATTTATGGCTCATTTTTATGTTTTTAAATCTTAGTTATAACCCCAAACGTGATGGGTTGTGTTTTAAACAACTATGTCGTTTATTTGGCTACATTAAATCCCAAACATCTCTTACCCATTTAGAATTATAGGCTTGGAATCATGCTGGTTATCGTTTATTTGGTGGTTTTACTGGCTGGTTTAGATTATAGGATTGAACTCTTGAAGCTAGAATGAAGTAGGACTGTCTTGGGTTTGATAAGGATGGATTTATAGATGCAATTTTCTAGTTTTGATTAGAGCACACAAGATTTTGAAATGTGAGTAAGAGGAGACATACTTTGAAGAAAATTGAGTTATTTGTGGTATTTGCATGCTTCAAACTCAAGGTTTAATAACAAGAAGCTGGGAGTATCAGCCGAAAGGACGACTTAAAGAATAGACTTATAAGAATTTCCATGTAATTGAGTTGCGTAAAGACTTAAAGTTTCAAACTTTGTTGAATTAGTTGGACATACAAAAAAAAAATGAAGTCACTGTTTCTACCATTCATATTACACTCACGTCAACGATAAAGTTAAATCTAACCAAGAGCACTCGCTATTATCTCTGTCATTTGTAAACTGGTGTTTTTCGGCAATACCAGTATCATCACTCGGCTCATGTACGACATATTCGACAATATTTACCAGGTATATTTCATCGTTCAAATCTAGGTATTATCTCGATGTTGTAGGACGTTTACTTTTATTTTGGGGGATTATAGTCCTGGAAATCCCAGTGTTTGATCGATTTTACGATCCGTTTTCATGGACAGGAATTATGTTTTTCAGTACGAAGTTCTAATTCGTTTTTGTGATCTCGTGTTTGATTGTACGTAATTATGTGTGATCTGATGTGTAGGACATGTTTAGTCAATGTATAGGACGTAACAATCAGCTGAATGTAATCATCGTTTGCGATTTTGGCTTTTGTAATCACTCTCTTTCGTAGTTACACTAATATGAGGATGTTTCTTTGATCTTGTCATCATTGTTTATCTAATCGAATTTGTTCTCAATTGATGATTGAAAGCATCTGATCTTCTTTTGTGAAAATGAGAATTGCGTTTAAACTCCTAATAATACGTAAACTATGCTTGCTTATCATCATTGTACAATATTTTCTTGCTTTTCTCATTATCTTATGCTGTTTCATAATCATAGGCCATAACTGGTATCGATTTTCTATCAAAGACAATGTACCTTGAAGATAGAACGGTCAGACTTTTAGTTGTGGTAAGATCTTCAGCCTCTTTCAAATTTTTGACACTGAAGAATAACATTGCAGATCATGTTTTGATCATGTTTCTGAGGACTCAAAGAGGAGAGAATGGCTTTGTGGTCTGAAATTCAGGTGACTCGCAGAGATAGAGTTCAAGAATTTGGTGAGAGACGACGACAATGAGAGTAGAAGAGTGTCTCTGGTCTACCACGTTTCATTAAGATTGAGCCTTTAAGTTCGGCTTCAATGTGAGTACTATGTTTAAGGCCCAATGTGAGTACTACGTGTTTTGAACATTGGGCCTATAACTTTTGGGCCTATAACTTTGGCATCCCTTATTGTTTACAAGTGGTGTTCATTAAGATTTATGCATACACGATAATTAGTTTTATAGATTTTTGTACTGTAAGAATCCAAAATTTTACAAAATCAAAAAACAAAGAGGCATAGCATAACTAGAAGAATTATTTTATATAAAAAAATGATATCAAATAAATAATTAAATTATCGCTTTAACAAAATAATAATGTCATCTAATAGTTTAAAAATAATTTTACAAAATGAAAGACTATGGTAAATATTTTTAATGCTATCCATACATAAATATTAACAAAAAATGCTATTCAAAACAGCTTCCTGTAAACTCTAATACTCTCTAATAGATCCACTAATCCTCTTGCTTATTTAAAAGAAGAATAACTAATAGACCATGACTCTAGACTAAACAAGATTAGTTTCTTAATTGTTAGAGATTCAAACATAATTTAAGAAAAATATTTCGGGGAGTAGTGCGGGTTTCGTCCTAGTATGCATACTATTCCACCAAATGGTTTTTCTTACGCTGATGGCACCAATGAGTTGGTAGTGATGCACATCTAAAAAAAATTGTTAGAAAACAAGTCTGATAAGATTCATGACAAGAGTATTCAAGTTACGTTTTCTTTAGCAGCACAACAAGTCTGATAAGATTCAATCACATAACCATGAATTCACTCTCAAAAGACAACAAAAAACAATCAGAAGTCAACATAAGCAAAAGTTGAAGACAACATAGTCAAAAATTGTGAACCACCAGATATTGATACGTGCATACAAAAAAATTTGCAGGCTCGCCAAGTGGATGTTCTTCTTCTCCTGTATCTCCTTCTCTTGTTCAGAGAGACTCCAAGTTTTTGAAAGCCTCTTCCACAGCTTTCTTGTCCTTTGAAGATTTGAGAAACTCTTTAAACTACAACAAAATATAAACATTCTATAAACAAATACAGATTGAAAGGTCAATGTATCTTAGTAAGCTTTTAAAAGCAAATAAACAGTTCTCACCTCCTAGAGATCATTGGTCAGCTGTGTTATAGCAGATCTGATGCCATTGAGATTCTGCGCGAGATCAAGCTTTGTGTCTTCGATTACCCTCTTCCTTTAACATCTTATCCATTGAAGATTCGAGGTACAAGGAGAACGAATTTACTTAACTTTGTAAGGAATATAAAAGCTAAACAGCTTTGACATAGATCATATAAACAGTTCATATACACAGTTCGTACATTGCGGATATCAGCACTAAGGTTTGACAGAGCCTTGCTGTGCTTTTGAAAACCAGCCTCGAATTGCTTTCCCATGGCACTACTAACATTCATCGAAATACTTTGTACCACATTGTCATGTGGCAATGCGCCTTTAATCTGCTTAGAAAAGTTACTAAGGTCGCCTTTAATCTGCTTAGGAAGGTTACTTAGGTCGCATGATTGCACCATGTTGTTTTTGACATATTCAATGTCTTTGATAAGGTCTTCATGAGGAAATTGGGAGATTGCAGGAGGAGATGTTTGAACTTCAAGTTTCTTTACATCTACAAATCCTTTGGTCAAGGAGGTTTCAATGTCCATCAATTGTTTCGTTGTAATGATGAAGAGCAAACTTGCTCGCCATGTCTTTTTTGATTTGGCCAAGTGTGGCCTCAAGCTTGGACAGTGACAACAAAACTAAACACAAGAAAATTGGCGACAAGTATAAGCTCATTGAAAGATAAACAACAAGAGAATATGGACAACGAGTTGTTATTATGGACAAAATCAAAACCCGAGCTCAACATATTTAAGAATTTTTATTTTTGAAGAAATTGTTTGACATCAAATGGTTTTTAATTAGAGAACTACATGCATGAGGTGAATTTAACAAGTGGTATAAGTCGCCGATAGTTTTAAATTAAGTTTGTTTTAATATAAGTATTTATATTTAAAAGATTTATCGGATTTTATATTTACCTTTGCTCGTATTTTATAATTTTATATATGCATACATAAATAAATAACTTTTATATTTGTATTTGTTTGTTTTATTTTATGTTTTTAGTATATGTTAACTTCTTACAAATGTGAGATTTTTTATATTGTGATATATGTAAATACTTTTTCAGCGACTATTATACTTTAAGAACCTTCGATTCTTTCAGTTTAATTTATTTATGATAATCAAGCATAAGTTGAATCATACTAAAAATATTTAATATAATTTTTGTTTTTTTAAATAATATTTTACCATTAGGTCACAATAATTAACTACGCGTAGTTTTTTTTTTGTGTGTATTTTGTTCGTTAAAATCTGAACACTACAAAAAAAAATAACTTTAAAATAATTCGATTTTTGAATTAGATCGGATCAATATTGTTAGGATGGACATTTTAACTGAACCTAACTAAACCAAACTAAACCTAACAAACCAAACTCAAACCGATCCAAACCAAACCATAACTTACATTCAAACCTTTCGATTATGTTTTTTCTCAACCCGAACCGATAACCCAATGTGTTTATTTATTTAATTAATTAATAATATTATTAGTACTAATTTACTAATATGTAATCATTTACCAAGGTTACACTTGAGTTGGAGCGTATTAGATTTTTTTTTCCTTTTCTAATTAATTTCATAAAATTAGATTGATTTAGTTATTATCTTTACCTCTAGAAAAAGAAAAAAATATATTTAGTGTTGGTTTGTTTTTCAACGTCTTGGATTTGTAGTGTTTAGGGGATGGAGGCTTAAGTTCTTCACGTCCACTTTTTCTTCCTAAAACACATGAAATGGTAGATAATTCTTCTTTTGATTCAATTGTTTCTTGGAGTGATAACAACAAAAGCTTTATCGTGAAGAACCCATTGGACTTTTCAAGAGACTTTGTTTCCATATTTTATTATTTTTAAAGCACGAGAATTTCTCAAGTTTCATTCGTCAGTTTAATACATATGTAAGTTTTTCTAAATATTTTTTTACTCAAATTCAATATAGCCATATATGTCATCTACATCTAAAACAAATTGTGTAGCTAATGTGACTTAATTTTGAATATTACCCGATAGAAATGATTTTTTACAAACTTTAACCTATGTTTGAATAATGTGAATTACTACGCTCACAAATTTTTTAAAAAATAATTTGAAATCGCAAATTCATTAAGCACTATATTTGATTTAATGTTTTTTAGGTAAAAAACACGACATTGCTGAAGAATCAAATAATTGGAAGGTAAAAAAAAGCCATAATTACTGGTAGCAAACAAACAACAACCAGTTTTTTTTTTTTTTTTAGTTTTCATAACCACAACGATTGCCTTCATTTATCGATATCTATTTTGTTTTTTTTTTTTAATATTCTAAGAAAATTTTTATTATTTATAAAAAAGAGAATAAGCTCAATATTTCAATGACATCTCAATAATAGTAAGCCCATTCATTTTTATACTATAAGCCCATGAAATAATCTTTAAGAAAAAAAATGACGTGGCACAAAGGAATATTATAATTGGCAGAGAATAGCTCTGTATTAATAAAATATTTTCATTGGATGTTGATTTTAATTAGGTGTCACCCTCAAAACAGCTCAAAAAGCAGATGTGTCAACGCAGGAGAGAACCCTATTGTTCTTATACAATAATAACACTAGGTTTCTCTCCTGAGTTGACACATCAGCTTTTTCAGCTGTTCTGAGAGTGACACCTAATTAAAATCAACATCCAATAGAAACATTTCGATTGATACATGTCAGATTTCTTGGCCAATAATAGTTCTTCCAGTTCGATATCATTTTATCTAAAGCTTATCTCACTATTTTGGGCTTATTGTTTGAGGAGAAAGCTTTATTTAGAAGTGGGCTTTTTATTGATTGACTCAAACAAATTGTCTTCTTTCATGCATCTTTTTTGTTCTCGATTTCTTTGGGCAAGTTTTTTTTTGTCAATTTCTATTATTCACAATTCATATGTTAATAAAATGTTGGGCTTATTATATTCCGTCGACATATGAATACGACGATGCTTTTCGTTGTTGTGATTTTGGGTTTTATGTTTTCACAGAAGGAAAGCCGATTCATACTGAGGTCCGTAACGAGGAGACGAAAAAGAGTTTAAGCATAACAGAATCGGACTAATTAGTACATATATATTATATAGTTTTAAAAGACATACCAACAAAAAAAAAAATCGTTGGTTAATTTGTTATTTCATAGATTTATTCATATTAACGAAATAAAAAAAAAAATTATATCCACTCTCAACCATTTTTCTAATGAAATTTAATATAGAGGAAACTATATGAAAACGCTAAAAACTAGAAGGAAAAAAAAAATCATATGTATATAAAAAAGAGCAACTGAAAAAAACGTCTAAAGTCCTATATAAAAACCACATCACCACTCTCACAACATCCCCTTCTCTTTCGCTTTCTCTCTTCTCTCCCATTAACCTCTCTCTCGTTTTCTCATAATCTCAACTTAATGCCGTCGGAACCAAACCAAACCCGAGCCACCAGAGTTCAGCCCTCAACGGCGGCTTACCCACCGCCAAATCTGGCTGAACCTCTCCCATGTCCTCGCTGCAACTCCACCACCACCAAGTTCTGTTACTACAACAACTACAACCTCGCTCAGCCTCGTTACTTCTGCAAATCTTGCCGCCGTTACTGGACTCAAGGTGGTACACTCCGTGACGTCCCCGTCGGCGGTGGAACTCGCCGAAGCTCCTCAAAACGTCACCGCTCTTTCTCCACCACCGCCACTGTCACCTCCTCGTCCTCCTCTTCTTCCGTCATCACCACGACCAAAGAAGCAGCCACAAGTGAGACGAAGGGTAGTAATGTAATTTCAGGTCATGGAAGCTTTGCTTCTCTGTTGGGTTTAGGAAGTGGAAATGGTGGGTTGGATTACGGGTTTGGGTATGGGTACGGGTACGGGCTTGAGGATATGAGTGTTGGGTATCTTGGAGACTCCTCCGGAGTAGAGATTCCGGTGGTTGATGGTGGTGGTGGTGACACGTGGCAGATTGGGGAGATTGAAGGTAAAAGTGGAGGAGACAGTTTAATATGGCCTGGTCTTGAGATCTCAATGCAAACCAACGATGTTAAGTGAAAATGAAACCGTTTCTGATGTTCTTGTCTTTGTCTTCTTTTGTTTGTGTCTTTTTGGAATTTTCTGTTTGTTTTCTTTTTTTTCCTAGAAAAAAGAGCAAAGAAACCAAATTGAAGCAAAATGTTTTTTTTATTTTAGTTTTTGAGGTCCAACAATGGTGGTGTATAAATCCTCTGTTTCTGTTGACGAACATATTGGAATGGATTTATGAGTAAAAAAGTTTTAAAAAATATTATTTCTTTTGATTTTTTTGGTGGTTAAATTTTGAATAGTCAAATGTAGAAAGATGAATTGAGCATATAAGTCCAAAAACGAAAAAAGTACATAAGTACTGTTGCAGAAGTGAGTAAGAGATACTCTGTTGCTACATCTTTGAAATGAGGAAATTGCGTTGAACTTAATTTTGTTTTTATTATAGATAAACATCAACTACAACATTGTTCATTTGCAGTGTAAAAGATTTTGTATATCAAGTCATGTGAGTCTAGTGTTTAGTATATGAGACAATTCATAAGAATGCTTAAAAAACAACTTTCATTCGATCAAATGGATTGGAAATTTTTAGGGTTAATGTAGAATATATAATCCTTGGTGTTATTTTTTTTTTGGTCAAACTTCTAAACAATAGTGTACTAGGTTAAAACGTTAAAAACACAATTTGAATGTAGGGATTATAGCTAATAGATATTGTTGTGTAGTCTCCTATTGTGGTCAAAGCAAAAAAAACAAATTGTGTTGAATATAAATGGTAACAACATTATGACCCAAGGACATATATTGAGAATGATGCTCGAGTTTGCTACCAACTAATTAAACTTTTGCCCACATATATCAATCAACCATGTTCAGTGAGAGCGTAATCAGCTCCATTTAATTGTATGTCAAATTAATTCTAGGGTAAATTGCAGGCCAGGGCATAAGACCATCTTTTAATTTCATGGTTTGGCAAAGTGAGAATTGGTTTTCAAGTTTTGACAATTTAGCCAAAATCTGACCATTTTACCCCTGCCAGCGTAACGATGTACTGTTCACTGTACGGTTCAGTTATGCGGTTCAGTTACGTACACTGTTCCGGTTCAGTTATGCGGTTCAGTTATGCGATGTACTGTTCACTGTACGGTTCAGTTATGCGGTTCCGTTACGTACACTGTACACTGTTCACTGTATGGTAATTGTGTGCAATTTAGTATTGGAAGATCTGTTTTACCTAAATCAGAGTACGATTGTTGAATTAACCAATGTTGCAATTTAAGAATTTGTAAATATTACACGTACGTTGCCTCAACAATGCTACATACTCTGAAAGACGTACACGTCCATATACTCAAAGGCATCATTCTAATTTTGTATTCATCTTTAACTTGGTTTCTTCTTCGGCAACTTTAATTTTGTGGCCATTGTTCACAATTTTCTTATAATCTTTTGTTTTTTACATTTAATTTATTTATTGATTTTGTAAATCTAGTTTATATTAGCGTATTTTGAAGTCAAAAAACTAAAATACAAACTCTATAAATATTACGTACACCGTCTCCACAATAGTACATGATATAACTGAAGTACATATCCATTTTATAATCAATACTGTGTATACCGTAAAATACATACACGTAAATAGAAAAAACTCAAATAAGGACATATTTCTACCAAAAATATCTTACCAATTTCATACAAGTTTTCTACGAACTCAATTAAAAAAATATTAATAATTTGTTTTCAGTAAATAATTGAAATCAACTATGATCAACACACAAATTGACTCTAATGAGACTCACAAAACTCCAGCTCTGTTACGCAATTTACATAATCATATGTCAAATACGAGAAGCAGTAGAAACAAACCTCACAACTAAAGAAAAACATTGAGGAATAGTATGTTTTAACGTGACACAGAGCCGTGTGTGGTTTGAAAATCTTAAACACTTGTCAGTAGATGATTCGCTTTTCCATTTTATAAATATTTATTGTTTTTATATTTTTAGTTAAAATTCTTTTTTTTCTATCAGACCCATTTTCATATTTTTTATTTCTATTTTAAATAATATTTTATTTATTATCATCGAAGACTATTCACGATTAGCAATATCATATATACATATGTGCGTAACGGTAATAATATATACGTACACGGTAATAATATATACGTAATGCTGCTCCGGTATTCGATGATTTACCCAGTTTTTGAGCCGATGAAACACAAGTTGAACTGAGTACGACAAGTGTTACTTTGTATGTGGGGAGTGTTTTTATGAACATGCAAGTCATAAAACAAACAATGGCTTATCTTGCAATCAAAGTTTGCTTTTGCTACAAGGTAGTGGCAAAGATTACATTACAATAAGTTGACTCATCTTATTGTTGAAAAATATGGGATAGGACATGTCGGAAATGCTGGTGACACTCAACTTACTGTGGGGCTAACATGAAAATTCAGTTGATTATTAGAAATGTGTACGTATACTAATTAACATGTACGTAATTGAAAAAGCATCGATCATTTTGGAGAGAATGGTGATATTCAACCATTTGTAATCATAATCAGGAGGTAAAACATGATTTTTAGAAGAATGTACGTACATTACTAATTATGTACACAAGGAAGTATCTGACGATGAATGTTTGATATACACAAATGCAAATTGGCATGGTACATGTCGCCAATAATAGTTTATTATTGTATCAATACATTTATCTTAACAAATTTAACTCACCAACAAAGATGTACGTACATTACTATACGTATACGTACATAATATTTTCAGAAATATGAGGAACAAATATTCTTTGACCATATATTTTTACTTAATTATTATATATGCATGAATTTTATTGAGATAGACGAAAGTAACAAAATAGCTTAATTTTGGAGTCAAAAGAGGGTGGTTAGATATATAATTATTACAACCACTTTAATATTGTATCATATACGTTCCACTAAATATGTTCGTGTACGTACACCGTAAATTATATATACGTACACAGAAGAAATTCGATGAAGGGTAAAACTGTAATTTTCCTGTCGTCTTCAACCTAAGTATTCTCTTCTGCAACCCTAATTTTGCGGCCGTCTTTAGCAGTTATCTCATAATCTTGTTTTCCTTAAGTTTTGAATGCTTTCTACATATGAATCTAGTAAACGTTAGCATATTTTAAATTTGAAAAACTAAAGTGTTTGAATCTCAAGAAATTTCTTGTATTTTGTTCATCGCCGGAAATATGAAATTTGTTTCTACTTACTCGACTCAAAAACTCTCAATCGAAGATGAATGCGAGATTGTTCAGATTTTAAGAAAACTATTATCACAAAGATTTTTGAAGTTGAAAAATTTGATTTTCAATTTGTTTTTTTGCTTCTTCTTCTGTTTTTTTCATTTTTTTTTACACATAATAAGATAAAAAAAAATAGGAGAAGTCCAAACATAACTGAACGAGAACTGTTTATGGTTTGGGGGTATTTTGGTCAGAAAAAACCTAAATTGCTAAATGGTGAGAACCAATTCTCACTTTGCCAAACGGTGAGAGAGAAACTCAATTTCTTACTAAACGTGAAAATAACTTTTAATTCTATACTATAGTAACTTAGTTTGAGTCATGGTCATCCTTTCTCCACCAACACAAGGTGTGTACAGCCCCGGCCCAACATATATTTGATCAAAAACACTTTTTTGGACCTTTTGTTAAATGAAAAAACCGTTGGACATTTTTTATAACTTTTTTACAAGTAAATTTTGAGCACATTTAACATTTTCCGAAAATATGGGTTTTTTTTATAATTAAAAAAAAAAAGTCATTTAGAAAAAATTAGACTTTTTAATATATTTTTAATAAAATATGCGTTTTTTATCAAGTATTTTTTCGGACCATTTCTTTTTTTTCTAAAAAATTCTGAGCTTTTTTCTTAAGTAAAAATTGTTAGTAGATAAACAGGCTCAAAGCCTTACACCATCACACTCCCACTCCACCCTATTACCCTTACACCATCACACTCCCATTCCACCCTATTACTCTATTAGAACGGCATATGTGTATATTCCTTGTTGTTTTCCACGAGAAAAGACTCTCTTACAACCCTGATACCCTTGATCCGTATATGTTAATAATATATGTGAGTTACCGAATATAGTAAATCTTGCTTTGAGTATTAGACTATTAGTATATTCTTCTTAGTCTTACTTAAAAATTGTGTTGGTCAAATAAAAGAACATAAACATGTCGGAGAGCGTAGATTCATTCAACTCACGAGCAGCTTTCAATGGTAACTGATTTTCTTGAACTTAACTCCATGTTTGATTCAATTTTACGAAAACATTTCTTGTAATGGTGTTTGTTGTTTGAAGCCCTTGAAGGGTTTTTCTTATTTTTCTTCTATCAAAAATATATTAATTAATATCTTTGTTTATATATTGGAGAATATAATATCTTTTTAATCTGTTTGGTGTGACAACATTATATGTCTAATCAAATGTGTAACATTTTTCAAGAAGAGAAATTTGGATTTCTTAGTATATTTTTAAGGAAATATGGGCCTTTTATCAAGCATAATGAAAAAAATCTTTCGTTTAAGTATGTAATCATTAAAAAAAATTCATGTTTATTTCTTTCTTTTATTATTAATAATTACTTTTTCATCATAAAATGTTTCCATTAAATAACAGTACTTAACCGTAAATGTTGAAAGTAATGTATGTATTGGTGACATAAATATTCAAACTAGAAAAATTCAATTCCTTTCCGCATGCTTGATCAAAATACTGAGTATTACTGATTTTAATGTTTTGATTCTTTCTGCTTGATCAATTCCTATTAGTATAATTTACAGAAATTGTTGGTATTGAAAACCTTTAAATGTGAATGTGCCAAAAAGGTGAAAAATAAAATGAAATTTTATCGCGTATCAGTTCGTTCAAAATGCTTAAAGAGCTACTAATATTGTTCGTTCCTCCTCTTACTTATATAATTAACCACTAAACTCTATTCAAGTTTCTGGACATTGTCTGAAATTATGGATTCGAACGTTAAAA